TCGGGGCGGAGTACTCATTCCTCACCTTTGACTCGAAGAGCTGTATCGTTCGGCCGCTACGAGGCCGACTGATGCAGACCGGACGGTTCTCAGCGCCGGAGAAGTTGACAGTTTGATGATTCAGGCAGATTGGCGGCGACCTGTAATCCGATCCAATGCATCTGTCATGGCATCGCCAACCGTGAGCGCGTGTCACAAAACGAAACATACCTGACCAGTGACCAGTCCCGGTACAGGAGTGCCTAAGGCAATGAATTGGCAGAGGCATATCAGCTCAGCCATGCGGTAAAATAACCAATGTCTCCCCCTATATCCTATCATCCTCCCGGCTCTGAAATGGTCTCATTGGACCGAAAGGGCCAAACCCAACAAAACAAAAAAGGTAAAATAACCGAAATACAAATCACTTCTCCTTTGCTCTAGCTGCTTCCCGTAATATTGGCACCTTCCTAACGTCAGAATGAGCGTAAAACTTTACTGATTCTAAAATGACAGCATAGAGAACGGGACAAAGGAATATTCTAGGCAGATCGTTCACGTTTCGATCAGTCAGGGGATCAGCAGTGGCTCTCTTCCCTGTTCTAGGCTGACGGTCAGCCCGCCCAGACGACCGGGAACAGGCTAGAGTAGTCCCGATAGGAATATTTCTCCGGATCCCCAGACGTTATCGTTACAGAGGACGTCATTTAGGCTACCATGTATGTACCATAATCACCTATGCTAAATATGCAAACGGCATTGTTATATAACCAAAATGGTTATGCTCTTTTGTTTCCGCGAAATATGTGATCTAATACTGGATCATGTGCTACTGTGACCGAGACATCCATGAGATCATGGGCCCTGTTTTGACCCTGTCCCACAGTGCACATGTTGCTGGAATGTCAACACAGCCATGAATAAGAAAATCTGCTATTATACCATTGATCTTCCGCCCTCTTCTCACTCTATACCGGTGACTGGTACCCGAGTATCCTATCCGCCCCTGCCTGACTGATCATCGTCCGTCTCACTATATGATGAGGATCAGGGGACTTTTCCGGGTGGATATATGGCTGGTGGTCTGGTGTATTTGGGCGTGGAGGAGTGGCCGGTTCATTGTTACAACTATAAGTAAAAATACTTGGAACCAAATTGTATAGTGATTGTTATCAAATTAACACAGGATTTAATACATCCGCAAATCAAGCCACAGCGAACGTAAACAAATAAGCTGCAATTCTACTATGTTGTCTGGTTTTCACGTCTGACGTAATGGTTTAATATGTTTGTTTTTTTACTGTTACAATCCAGTCACAGTGTCGATTCGATATTTAGGAGATGCATCGAATGCATTTTCTTTGGGGACCCACAATTCTTATCAAAAGTAAAGACTCGTAATGATTTTTAGGAGTACTTTCGCTTAGGTACTTACTGTTTTTTACATACCTACCTACAGTCGACTCTTTAGTGCCCTGCCTACTACGTGGTCCTGGAGCCCCATAAGAAACGGGTGCTGAGCTATCCTCGCCAGCAGACACAGCGTTGCAGCCGGCCATGAAAAATCAGAACCCCAACGGGCGCCAGACTACGTAATGTTTATTCGACTGTGCTTGTTCTTGTGTCCCATGCAGACTGCAGGGCTCCATGCCCGTCAGTGCCACTACTCTAGTCGACAAGCTGTAACCTACTACGGACTCTGCCAGCACCTTTTTGGCGTACCAGTATAAACGTCCCTACAGAGGGGGCTTAGTTATCTTTCGACCCGATGTCACAAATGTAATACCCAAGTGAGCGATACTTGTCATTAGCAAACTAGGCTCATTGCTCATTTGACTAAGATGCCATCGTGTCCACTGTCCAGACTCCATGTGTTGTTCGCGAAAGTAGTCGCATTCGACATTGGCTCCGAGTAGATACTGACCGGGGGCGGGATCTAATTGATGACATTTGACAACAAGTGACTGCGATGGTAGCCACAGCTCGCAAATAATTCTGCACCTTCCTACAGAGTCGATCCCAGATTCCCAGACATGGGATTCCACTCCTCACCTTAGACTGGCTGGAGAAGGCTTCATTTTATGATTATTCCGTAATCTTCGCATAAGGTGACAAAGTAACAGGAACTGTCCACCTGAGGGGCGAGATATCAAACCATTAGCAACGAGAATGTTGTGGCTACCCGCAAGTCGTATCGGTCAAAACTCCGTATCGGTATGCGGCACGGATAACTACACACTGGATGGGGATGGGGCTGTGGGACACCTACTCGACACTGGTAGTGGGAGTTCGCAAGGAAACCCTGCAATCGCTGATCGACGGCCGTGATCATCGCAACGGCTCATTAGCGGATCCATACGTGCGTTTTATCTTATGTCAAGGAGAGGAGAGAGAAGGGCGACACGTATTTGGCGGAGATATCACCATAGGTATCAATCAACCTCATAATTCATATAGGCCTTGCATACCTGGGTAGGTACCTATATTTTGGATTTATCGACGTCGACGTGGAGCGGGGGGGGGGGGGGGCGGAGGGGGCGGGCATCTGGGTCACGGATTGCTGCCGTGTGCCGAAATGCCATACCAATACTGTTGTCAATCTACGAGAATTCTTGCTGGCATACCAGTCGGTGGCACTGATATCGATTTGGACATATTGTATCTACCATAGTCATACCTAAATAGTGTAGTCTCTGACTCTCTATATACAAAAATACATCACCGACCCAGCCAGCAAAATTCATTTGGGCCGGGTATGCCTTATTATAAGCTCTGGTCTTAACCCTCGCCCGCACATGGGGGAGGGGGTGGTTGCCACCCCCCCCCCCCCCCAGGTAGTCTTTCTGCTCTGCACTCAACATTTTTAGAGCTAGAAGGCCGATTTTTCGTATAGCTGCTCCTCTATCCTTTCTTGATGTCCACTGAAAATTTCAAGTTTCTGTGCTTTTTGGTTTCGGAGATATGACCTTGTTTTTCAGGTCATGTCATGACCCAAATGGCCAATTCTCAACATCTTGCGCTGGCTATGGGCCTTGTGAGCTTTTGACACCTTGATTTCGGCCTTTTTTGCCAGTCTTACCTCCCAACTATCATGGAACATGTTGTTCGACGATGTACAGATGTCAAGGTCAAGGTCAAGGTCAACCTAGGTCATCTAAGATAATTGCGTTTTAGGTAAGCGGAAATTACTTTTTGTCAAGTTTTTTTTACTACATTTTTGGTAAAAGCTTCTCAGATCATGATTTCAGTCGTAATATGGACACAAAAACAATCGGTGCAAAGTGTACACATAAGTATACACACAGACACACACAGACATACAAACACATATTATTGACCTTGACCTAACTTGACCTGACATGACCTCAGCAGCAAAAATCTGGTCGGGTAGTGTGACAAAGAGGTTCTAGCTGGCTTGGCACCATAAAACAGCATCGTCATCGGTATATGGTAAGCAGCGCACTTGATATCCAACGTTGACCCAAAATAGCAGCATTTTTTAGTTTGACCTGACCTGGAAGGTCAATGACTGACCTGAGAAGGTAAAACTGGGTATCATTGGATTCGTCTCTTCCCAAAGAATCTTTTTGGTCTTTACCGCTAAGCTCTATCTCCAACAGGAACGAAAAGGGCGCGGGGGGGTGGCAACCACCCCCCCATGTGCGTTCTAGGATGGGAAAATGGCATGTGCGGGCGAGGGTTAATTTACCCTGGCCAGTTCCGGCACTTACTCCGGGCTCCGGGCGAAGTACGTACGGGCAAGGTCTGGAGCTCTACGGGAGCTGATACACGCAGGGTATATACAGGGGCGTCGACGCGTAAGGAAAACTGGTCCGACTTTTTCTCGGGGGGCCCCCACCGGTGGGGGCCCCAGGTGTTAGGTTAGGTTAGGTTAGGCAGGGGCCCCCGTGGCCGCAGCTGGGCCCCCGAGAGCCCCAACGGGGGCCCCCGCGGCCACAGCAGGGCCCCCGCGAGCCACAGCAGGGCACCGCCTAGTCGAAAAAGTGGTCCGACTAGTCGGAAAAGTCGGACCGGTGTCGACGTCCCTGGGTATATAGATACACGATCCCAAAGCTCGCCTCATCCGCACCACAGCCGGACTTATACCGCATCATCCGTGCCGCACCTCAACCATACCTCAGCTCAGTAAGCCAGAGCAACTACGAGGCAGCCGGACATGTCCAATAGGCATAGCACGCCGTGGCAGGGAGCCGGACTTCAGCCGGACTTGGCGGTCCGGACTCCGAGTCCGGACTCCGAAACCACACAAACTCCGAAGCGCTACGGTAAAGACTGGCTAACTTTATATGGCCTTGGGCTAACCGGGGGCTAACCGGAACAGCCGTATCGACCCTAACCCAACGTGATATATCAAGGCGGGTCGCGGAGGTTGCGGGACACCGGAATGTGCGGGAGCCGTATGTCATGTCTTCTCCAAACGAACCAAAGCCTTGCCCAAGCCAAGGTGGCCTCATAACCTTGGTGGCCTCCCTGTCTCCGGCTCTCATTTATCACGGAAGTATATTCATATATCGGGATCGGGAAAACGCACATTTATCAAAGCTTATGGATCCAGTTGCGGGTGAAGCAAAAGCGCAAAAGCTTGATGTTCAGCAGCTAACCTTGCGCAACTAACCCTTGCAAGGTTATCCTGATTATACATTAGCCAGTCTACATTTCAAATTTGATATAAAATGCCAAAAATGCACTATCCCAATTTGCCGCAACTGCGCTAAATATACACTATCTTGTTTTTTATCATCCTCAAACCTTCTGCATGTTCAATGACGTCATCAACAATGATGAATGAGTGCTAGGAAACAAAAGAAAGTTTCGTGATTTATCATCAAATGTACAAAAGAAACCGTATTTAGGAAAGATAAAACATTTTTTAGAAATATTAGTTAGTTATTGACAATTTATGACCTAGAAAAGGTGAAACAAGTGATTTTTAACCAGGGCTTATATACGTCATAGAATCAGTGGTGCAGTCTAGCTGGCCAATTTGTTTCCCGCGTGCTCTGAGGCAATCTCTGAGGTGTTTTTTTTTTTCTACCGGCATTTTATTATTTAGCCGTGCCAGGTATTTGCGGTGGCGGATATTTTGATGTTTTTATTGGTACCGTATGCGTATAAATTTGATGACTTAACTTGGTTTTAGTCAATACGGTATTAGTTTTAATATCTGAAATTTTCTCTCCCCTGTCCTTGCCCCTGTCTTGGTCTGCGCTCTGCGGTGCGTTGTACTTCCTGAAATCCTTCAAAGTCAATAAATTATTGATGAATCAACTCACTGATAGTCATAAACGAGATGCAGGTTTAGTATTGAGCTTTTGATTTGTGACTTACAGTAGCCTAAGGCCTTTAATCACTGTAGTTTTTAATTCCTGCCTGGACTTGAGCTCCAAACAGGAAGCTGTGATCCTGCATCACTTTTTTAACCCTCGACTGCACATGCCATTTTCCCATCCTAGAACGCACATGGTGGTTGCATCCGCCCCGTGCCATTTCGTTCCTGTTGGAGATAGAGCTTCGCGGTAAAGACCAAAAAGATTCTTTGGGAAGAGATGAATCCAATGATACTCAGTTTTACCTTCTCAGGTCAGTCATTGACCTTCCAGGTCAGGTCAAACTAAAAAATGTTGCTGTTTTGGGTCACCGTTGGATATCAAGTGCGCTGCTTATCATATACCGATGACGATGCTGTTTTCTGGTGCCAAGCCATCTAGAACCTCTTTGTCACACTACCCGACCGGGTTTTTGCTGCTGAGGTCATTTTAGGTCAAGTTAGATCAAGGTCAATGATATGTGTTTGTATGTCTGTGTGTGTCTGAGTGTATGCTGATGTGTGCAACGGTTGTTTATGTGTCCAATATGACATGAAATCATGACCTGAGAAGCTTTTACCAAAAATGCAGTAAAAAAACTTCATGAAAAGTAAATTCAGCTTGCCTAAAATGCAATTATTTTAGATGACCTAGGTTGACCTTGACCCTGACCATGACCTTGACCTTGACCTCTGTACATCGTCGAACAACATGTTACACGATAGGTGGGAGGTGAGACTGGCAAAAAAGGCGGAAATCAAGGTGTCAAAAGCTCACAAGGCCCATAGCTAAAGCAAGATGTTGAGAATTGGTCATTTGGGTCATGACATGCCCTGAAAAACAAGGTCATATCTCCAAAACCAAAAACCACAGAAACTTGAAATTTTCAGTGGACATCAAGAAAGGATAGAGGAGCAGCTATACGAAAAATCAGTCTTCTAGCTCTAAAAATGTCGAGTGCAGAGCAGAAAGACTACTTGGGGGGTGGGTAGTGGCAACCCCCCCCCCCCCATGTGCGGGCGAGGGTTAAGACATCCTCCTGATCCTTGATTGACATGATCACAGATTTCTCTATATAGAGAAGTCTGTGACATGATTCATGATTGAATATAGTATTTCATGCATGAAGTATGAGCATGAGCATCAGTCAAGGTGCACATGAATTTTATGCTAACAGCGCATGTTCTCTGGTTTCAGTTAGAACTTCATTCATAAGCATCAGTGGTTTCACGGTACATACCTACCCAAGTTGATGAGTTAATTTTTATGAAGCTGACAAGATGAATGAAGACAAAATGAAGGCATTTGTGATCTGGATCCTTCTCCTTGTCTGTTCATCATCACATGGAGCAAAGTTGAACACACCAAGAGTGCTACTTCCATACAACTTTCAAAACAATCCAGTTGTGTATACTTTGGAAGTTACTGAAACAACTTCAGAATGTTTTGTTTGGTAAGTACCAAGTTGTATATTTATTGTTGTTTGATTTTATGATGTTGGATAGCCATCTGTCAAACTAGCTGGATGCAGACATAATCTGGTGAGAAGAGAAATGTTGTTATAGTTTCTTCCCTTTGAAATCTGTTTTTATTTCAGTGCCTAGCATTTCAAAACACATTTCAAGATGTAAGGTATCCAGAAAAGTTTTTGCTTTTATGGGCTTGTGGTTCATAGAATCCAGATTTGGCATACCAGCCTACCTGCTGGCTGCAAAGATGAGAATTGTCTAACAGAAACGTGTTTTGTCAGAATTGTCTAACAGAAATGTTTAAGGAACAATCTGGTACCTACCCATCTTTCTGAATGTTTTATTTTTATTTTGTTATCAGGTCATCCCTGCAAGAGGATGCTGTTCTGGTTGAGCCTGTGGAAACTGGCGGCTGCTCCAACAAGGCCACTGTTACAGCCATTTCCCGTCAGTCCTCTACCCAGAAGGTCATCGTCCTCGCTGAGGACAGAGGTATGTTTCCACAGTCATCAGCCATCAGCCATCAGCCAACGTTCTTATTGTCTATTGGAGTGGAGGGACAAACTGAAAGGAGCAAGTGAAGTGCTAACCACAGGATATTGCTTTGATATTGAGGATAAGTTGAAACTAGAATACATTTGCTTGAAATTTTGGAGGATCACTGCATATTGACATGAACACATTGGATCATTTTATTCCTCTTTTGTGTCTTGAAAACAATATGTGGGCCTAGTTCTCAACTATTTCATAACATGCATGTCACATAGGACAATGAGCTACAGGATCTGTTTGTCCGTGACACCGCTGGATGAATGAGCCGCGCTGCTGAGCGCTGACACCCCTCTCCCCTCTCCCACCCCTCCCCCGCAGAGAGCGGCGTGGTGCTGCGCTGTGACGTCATCGTCGACACGCCGCGCTCGCTGCTGATCGCCACCACCACGCGCGAGATCTACGTGGAGGAGGCGGCCGAGGAGTTCGAGCTGATCGCCATGGACGAGCAGGGCAACCAGTTCACCAGCCTGGACGGCGTGTCCTTCCAGTGGTCGGTGAAGGCGGTCGGCGGCGGCCAGCCCGTCATCAGGATACAGCCGTTCGCCGAGTCCAGCTACGACACGTCGCCGGTGGGTAGTCGTGGCGCTCATGGCTGTAGAATGGTGTTCGTGTTTTAAATTTATTGCGATGTGCTGTTTTAAATGGATGGATTGTCAAACCAGGATCTTTGCCATTTAGACATGTGGAACGTTTTGCATTTTTGGCCATCCTAAGTAGTCTTGATTTATGTCAAAGTAGTCTAAGTAGTCTTGATCTCCGTCCGTCCTGTTTCTGTCCGTCTCGTTCTCGTACAGTCTTCGTAATCTTACTTTCGTCCGTCACTGAACAAATATTCTCCAGTCCTTTCCGTCTATCCACCTATCAACCGTTTCGGACCCACCCACTTGTCGCCATAGTGATACGATTGCCGTCCCTTACACCTTTCCATCCACCTCCCTACCACCAGGCGATTGAGGCACTGGAGCGGCGCGGTCTCCGCGGCGACAAGGTGCTCCTGGTGGGCACGGCCACCGGCGTGGCCGTGGTCTCGGCCCGGCTCCAGCACGCCCAGCTTGGCGACCTGGAGACGCCCGGCGTGCGGCTCTCCTCGGTGGCCAACCTGCTGCTGCAGCCGCCGGACGCCTTCGTCCTGCCCGGGACGCGCGTGCCGTATGCTGCCGTGCAGGTGAAGCACGGTCGCCTGCACCCGGTCCGGCTGGACGCGTCGCCGTATTACCTGGACGTCCGAGACGCGGCCGTGGGCCGCCTGGAGAAAGGATCCAGCACCGTCACCGCGCTGAAGAAAGGCAATACCGAGGTGAGAAGGGCTGGGGGCGGGAGGTTGGCACGAGGAGGAGTGAGCTCTCGATGTCGGGACGGGGGACCGGAATCGAGGATGGCAGAATGAGCAATGGGTGTCTGATGGAGCAGCTACGGTGACGATTACGGCGGTGTTCGGAGGTATCTTAGGTCTAAAGATGCATTCTGGCACGCTGAACGCTCACGTTGATTTGGTTTGTCAAAACTTTATTTATCTCGTGGAGCCATTTGCATTGCATAGAAGGATTGAACTTTCCTTTCTTACGATATACAAATGCTGAGGTTCATTGAATGTCCCTGCTGTATTGTCTCGAGACTAGAAGTTTCTTTCCTTCTTCCAATCGTCCGTCGGACATTGTTCACCAAATCCCGACGTACCGATGCAATGGTCGGTAGTGTCTCCGCACGGTAATTGACGTTTGTCTGTCTTTTCCTGCCCCCGTCAGGTGACGCTGCGTGACTCAAACGCCGAGGGCGGCGACACGGGCGCCTCTGCTCGGCTCTCAGTGGTGGAACCGGCCAGCCTGACCGTCACCTCGCCCTCACACGCTGACTGGGTGGCCGTCACCGGACAGCGCGTCCGACTGCAGTGCCACCTGTGGGACGCGCTCGGAAACAGGCTCTGGATCGGAGAGGTATGTCTGCTCGGGACAGTCAGTGATAGTGGGGATGTCGTTGTCGATTACCAGGGCTGTATGTAGGATCTGGTTTCCAGTGTGCGTTGACTCTCTGGGAAACAAAACTTCTGATTCCGTAGCGTATCGACTATTGAATTGAACTTGGTCGATTACATAAGTTTTCCCACAGCGATCTTATAGCTGACAATGGACCGTCTTTCACGCTGTGTCCTTGTCTCTGACAGAACGTGGTTGTGGAGCTGACTGTGGAGGAGGAGTACTTCTCCATGGACCTGGCCTCCGACAACGGCACCTACGCCGAGGGGACGACCGTCAGCACCGGGCACGCCAAGATCCGGGTACGGTGGCGCTCTCTTGACTACCCCGCTCTGTTTCACGAATGCTTCCCCTCTGCTCGCCGTCGCTTGATTGACTTAATTCCTGTGGAGTATGGGAGTAACCATAGCCGGAGCCCCCAATCGTTGATCACTGTTGTCAACTGATGATTATTTATAGCAAGATGTGATGGATGTCTGCTACTTTTGTTCACTGGTGTTGGTCTGACTGTACAGCCGGGGCGCCTCTCAACTCTCAGCTCCTTCCGTTGCCTGCGGCGGTCCGGCTACGTGCTTCTTCACACCTTACCTTACCTTACCTACATCTTCATACCTCACTCGCGTACCGCCCCTGACCTTCCCCTGTCCCCCACAGGCTCGTCTGACCGGTTACCGCGTCCCGGACGGCTCTGAGCACAGCCTGGCCGTGCCGCTGGAGGCCACTGCCACCCTGGAGATCTACCCGCCGCTGGCCGTGGTGCCCGAGCTGGTGGTACTGCCCTGGAACCCGCAGACGGCGCCCACCTACAACATACAGCTTAACGTCAGTACGCGGGGACGGCTGAGACGCAGCGATGGGTAGCCTTTGTGTCATAATTGGTGTAGCTTGATAATAGCCTTAAAGTTCAAAATGATGGCGTATTCTCCATACGTTCTGTCCATTGTGTGGACTTGTCTCCTGTAATGGTTTGTTTTCACGTTATATTCAATATGAAGTGTGCATCCTTGATACTGATTTCAGCATTATTCTAAACCTTTGATGACAGTCACTCCATCAACTATAAGGAAAAATCATTGTCAATCCCTCGGTCATCTGCACGACCCCACCTGACCTCTGTGTGCCCTGCTGCGACCTCAGTACACGGGCGGCGACGGCAGCGTGGCGTGGTCGTCCAACAACAGTCATCTAGCCACCGTCAGCCAGCAGGGCGTACTGCGCACCCGCGGCAGGGGACACTGTACAGTCACCGTCAGCCTGGTGCGCAACCCGCGCATCAAGGCACACGCACAGGTATGTTTGGTGGGGTGATGTGGCAGAATGGTGATGTTCTGTCATAACCAGTGGTTTGTTGGCTCCAATTTCTAACCTACACCGGTGTTTTGCTTTGAGTCGTGGCAGCTTAGCAGCTCGTTCCCCATGATTTCACCGGCCCCTTGGGTTGTTTTGTAACTGGGTGTAGTCTGATTGAGGGCGGGCTGAGTGTAGTCTTGTAACACTCGCCAGGTGTTCATATGTTATTCCGATCATAACAGAGCCCTTGCTTCAAGTTGGCACTTGGTACCCGTAGCCGAGCTGTCGCTGCAGACCGATCCCCTTTAACTTGACCTGACCTGACCTGCTCTGCCCTGACCCTCTGCCAGGTATACGTGGTACCGGTGGCCGAGCTGTCTCTGCCTGCGGGTCCGCGCGAGGCGGAGGTGGGGGCGCCCCTGCTGGTGCCTGTGGCGCTACACGCTCGACTGGAGGACGGCCGCCGCGTCAGTTTCACCCGCTGCCACCAGGTGGCTCTCAATGTGCAGCTCTCCAACGAACGCTTCGTTACGGGACCCGAAGGTGAGGCGTGGTGATTGAGCGAAAATGACGATGGGGCGCTGTAGTTTTCTTGAAATTTTGTGTGTGTGGGGGTGGGGAGAATGAGAGGATTGCTGATTGACATTGAAAAAAGGCCAAAGAGGCTGTCTTATCAAGCCTTGATACTAGATAGCATAATCAATAAAAGCTTTGCTAATGGTAATATTGTCACTTGTACTTTTATGCTATTCACAATGTTTCGCAACGCCATGTCAATGAATTTTTCACAGGCTTTTTAATGCCAGGGATACTATACTCTCATTTGTCTCTAACTGTACCTTATCTTCTCCCTAGACGAGTCTGCCGGGGAGGCGCCGCCGGGCGCGTGTCGCCAGGTTTCTCTGCGGGGCGTGGAGCCGGGCCACGCGCGGGTCACGGTCAGCCTGCTGGAGCCGTGGCCGACGGCCGAGGCGGGCGCGCTGGTGGGCACCTACCGGCCGCTGACGGTGGCTCCGCCGGCGGACGGCGCCGGCCTGCTGTTGGCGCCCCGCTCCTCCTGGCTGCTGCAGGCCGACGGCGGTCCCCTGCCGTGGCCGACCCGACCCGACCGACACCAGGCCACCGGTAAGGAGCCGACCGGGTGCGAGACCACCGTGGTGGACGTTGGTTTATTAATGACTAATTCAGTTGATTGCTAGGATTGGGTTTGATGAAATTACCATCTTTGCAGCTGCTATGATGTATGCTGAATGATGGATTATGTTGGAGATTGTATCAACAGAGAAATGCAGACGTAAATGTGTACCTACCAGCTCTCGTCGAACCGCGTGGAATTTCTCAAAGCCCTTAATCCACTACCGTGGTTCCTGTCTGTTCGCTTTAGCCACGTGCCTTCCTCTTTCTGTGACTCTGCTTTCTCCCTGTGCCGACAGCAGTGAGCTCGGTCGACTCAGTGTCTGTGACCGAGGTGGCCGGCGCCGACGGCTTCTGGCGGCTGGTGTTGTGCCGCGCTGTCGGAGAGGCCCGCCTGCAGCTGACGGTGGGGAACCGGCCGTCCGCCGAGCTACCACGGCCGGCCGTCAGCCGCGCAGAGGTGCTGGTGCGCTGCGCCATGCCGCGCCGCCTGCTGCTCACCGCCGAGCAGCCGGTGGCCGCCGGCCGCCAGCCGCTCGAGCTGCCCGCCTGCCCGCTGCAGCAGCCGCTGCGCGCGCACGCCGGCCAGCCGCTGCCGCTGCTGCTGCGCTGTGAGGACGCGGACGGCGCCGCCTTCCATAACGCCAGTTCTCTGGCGCTCGCCTGGAGTGAGAGCAGCGGAGGCTCGCTGGCGCGGCTGGAGCCGGCCGGCGGCGCGGCGGCGGGCCCCGGGGCGCTGCCGGCCGCCGAGCGGCGCTCGCTGGTCCCGGCCGGCCGGCCCGGCGAGCTGACTGTCCGCGCGGTGATGACAGCTCCTCAGGGGGCCGCCCGGCTGGAGGCGGAGCTGGCACTGCGTCTGGTAACGCCGCTGCAGGCCTCGCCTGCTCAGCTGGTCGTGTTTAACCACCCGGCCACGCGTGAGGCGGTCCAGCTCACCGGCGGCTCGGGCCATGTCGCCGTGCGCGTGGCGACGCCGGCGCAGAGCTCGCTGGCGGCCTTTACCTTCCACCCGGAGAACAGCAGTGTGTCGGTGGCGCCGCGCGCCGACGGTCGCCTCACGCTGGATGTGTGGGACCTGTGCCTGACGGCCACCCCGCCGGCCACCGTGGCAGTCCAGGTGAGTGCCAGTGAGGATCGAGGATGGGCTGGTTACAGTGGTTAGGGCCGACCTGAGGGAGAAAGTAAAGGCTGTCGTCTGGGCGGAGTGACATGAGGTTGTCATGAAGCTAAGTATATTTTCAAGGGCCATTATCATTTCAAAAATATGACACGAAGGTGGGGTGTAGCCTAATAATGAGCTGTTCTCGTCGGATCTCCTTGTGTTTCTCATGTTGTCATGTGCTACAGGATGACGATTGACGATCAGACCTGTCTCAGTGCACCTTAATGGGTCATCTCCGTTGCGAATATCGTTTGGCTGACCTCTGCTCACCTTGCCGGTCCGATATTCCGTCAGATCTCGGGTGTCACCGGCGTGGAGCTGTCGGTGGTGGGCCGCCTGGCACTCGGCAGTAAGACCGTGGCCAGCGTGGCCGTCCTGGGGGCCTCTGGGACCCGGCTGCCGGCCCGCCTGCTGCCGCTGCTCAACGTGCGACTGGAGCCAGCCTCCAGCGTCCTCTCCGTTAGGTCAGTCGAGTTTTCTCTGTCATATTGCAACTATTTTCCATTGTGTCTTTGCCCTTTAGCTCTTGCACCTCTCTCAGTTCACTGACCCTCTAAACTTCTTATCCATTTCTGTTGGGACATTTCTGTATTTATCTCGCTAACATACAACTGTGTTCTTACGCACGCATTGAATGGTAACTATTTTGGAGCCCAGGTGCTCGAGGATTGTGGCTTGTCAATGTCATAATCCACTTCCCCGTCATTGTCTCCGGCTGACATTCCCTCCTTATTCTCCATCTCCCAGATACCAGTCGGCCGGCCCGGACGACACCCACCTGTACGAGGTGCGCGGTGAGGCCGTGGGCGACGTCACCCTGACAGCCCGCGCCGGCGCCACGGCCGCCTCCGACCGGCGTGTGGAGGTGTTCCCTCCGCTCCGACTGAGCCCGCGGAACCGGACGGTGGCCGTCGGCAGCCAGTACCAGCTGGCGGCCAGCGGCGGGCCGCGCGCCGACACCGACGTCTGGTTCAGCTCGTCGGAGCCGACGGCGGCCGAGGTCAGCGCGTCCGGCCTGGTGACGGCGCGCCGGCCGGGCAGCGCGCGGCTGACCGGCCAGGTGGCCGACGGAGAGCCGGCCACCGGAGACCACACCGTCTACTCGGAGGTAGGTGTGGCGCAGCGGGTACCCGTGTACGTGCAATGTTCATGATGATAACTGCCGATACTTGATAAAGGTCTGTCGATGGAGAACTGTCGATAGGAGTGTTGCGGTGGCTATCCTTCTTTGGTTGTAATTCTGGCGTGTGAATGGCTACATCGTGCTCTACTTATGCAGCGCTTGCGTACATGTCTCAGTGCGTGGTAGCTAAATGGACGAGCTAGTTCCGATTGTCTGAGCTGTGGAGTGTGCGGCTTATTGTGTGTCTGTCTGCCACAGGACACCGTGTCAGCTCACGTGGTACAGCTGTGCGGAGTGCGGCTGCGCGCCCCGCTCACCCGCATCCAGCGCGGCCAGCGCCAGCCACTGTACGCCGACGGGCTGGATCAGCACGGAGCCGTGTTCGTCATCAAGAGCCCGGTGCCGGGCGTCACGTTCCGCTGGAGCAGCTCGTATCCGCAGACGGCGGCCGTCTCCAGTCCGCTCAGTCCGGTCAGTCATGGTCAATGGTCCCCTCAGTCCGGTCAGTAAACGGTCAACAGTCCGCTCAGCCCTGTCAGTAAACGGCCAACAGTCCGCTCAGGCCGTCATTAACGGTGAACGCTCAACAGTTTTGTCACTCCAGTCAGTCACTGGTTATAGACTGGTCACGTAATTATTCACATTCGTTAGGGATTCGTTGGGGTCGTCACCAATACTACAAATTACGATTATTGTTTGATCGTTGACATTGTCACGACTCCTAGCTGGAGATAAGCTCCGTATGTTCTTTCTCCCCTAGTACAAGTGTTTTATGTCAACACCGGCCCTCCCCTTGCTGACCGCCGCTACCCAGTCTGATTCTGACTCCTCCCCTCCCTCCGGCAGCTGTGTGTCGACTCGGACGAGGGCGTGGCCATGCGCATGTCGGCGCTGGAGCCGGGCAAGGCGCAGCTGTCGGTAACGCTGGCGTTTGGTGATGGTCTGCGGCCGGTCGGCTGTCCCGCCGATCTGCCCACCAAGGCTGCACTACACGTCACGGTATGTGATCCGCCCGGGCCAGGATGCAGCTATCGGGAATGTGGGAGGAGGGTCGATTTTTAGGGAAGTAAAATGAATTAATTGTATGGCGGCCTCCGATAACGTTGCTTACCACTCATATAATGAAGTAGAATGATGATCTGACTTTCCCGAACTGTTGTTGCCGCTTTAAAGTATATTGTACTCAGTGAATGTACTAGTCTGATCTACCCCTATGCAACGTGCATATTATCTTGATAGCTGGCCATTGAGGAGCTGCATACGGCATGTTCAATGTTTTTGTATGGAGACATAAAATAGCCCCAAACCTACGCTGTTTGTCAGGTGTACGAGGAGCTGCGTGTGCTCTCGCCGCCGGTGCCGACCGGCTCTGTGCTGATGTCGCCCCACTCCCGGCTCTCCCTGCGCACCACTCTGCCGGCGGTGGCCACCTCTGCCGAGGGCCTGGTCTCGGTCAGCGGCTCAGAGCTGGTGGCCGGGCCGCGCACCGGCCGCGACACGCTCCGCCTGACGGCCGCCGGCCAGCCGGGCGGTAACCAGACGGCCGCGCTGCTGCTCGAACTGCTGCCCGTGCACTATGTTATGGTGACGCCCGTGGCTGAGCTGTGTGTGGCGGACGGCGCCGGCGGACTGCCCACCGGACTGACGGTCAGTACTTTGGGGTATGGCGGACTGCCAACGGACTGACGGTCAATGATAGAGAGCGAAAGAGCGGTCAGCACGGCTGGGTGGGGTAGGTGGTCAGTACTGCGGGATACTAGGAAGGGCGGTCTTGGAGTGGCTTGGATGGCACCTCTTAGGGACTTTTTGCTCCACAAATAGGATATTTCGTGTTTGCTGTTATTCGGTTGTGATAAAGCCTTAATCAGCCAGCTTGTGAGTGTCGGTTATCGTAAAACTTTGATGGATGGCAATGGAGACTTGTTACTTTGTCACTGTTACAGTTGTAGTCGTATTTGTTGTGTACTCTGTAATGCAATAACTTCGATCTATCTTTGTTTTCCATCATTCCTGTGAAAGTGTAGTCGCCGTAACTCTTCCCCACCATCTCCGCCGCCCAGCTCCGACTGAACGTTACCGCGCACGACACTCGCGGCCGGCCGTTCGCCGCCTGGCTGGGCGCGGCGCCCCCGGCCGCCAGTCGCGCGGACCTGCTGCAGGCGGCCGGCACCGCCACCCTGGTGACGGCTCAGCTGCGCCGTCCGGGCACCGTCAGTCTCAGTGTGGCCGCCGACGCCGACCCGGCACTCAGCGATGTACTGTTTGTGGATATCGCTGACCTGGTGCCGCCAGAACAGGTGGGTCTGGGGGAGGGAATGGGCTGTCTCATGAGGTTGCGTTTAAAGCGAACTAAGCGTTAAGTGCAGGAAGAATAGCCAGTATTACAGCATGAAACGTCATTGTTGAAAATACCCGTTGTCATATTACCACAGCACTTATCTTTCCGTGGAATGCTGCTTAGCAAATAATGGTGATAGCTTAACACAAGTAACTTTGACTACCTAAATAATCTCTAGCTAATACCAGTAAAACGCCTTTTGGGCGAAGAACGAGCGAGCGAGCTAGTGACCCCTGCACGTGCAGAAGGGCGAGAGGGTACTTCCAACGGGCGCCTTGTGCAAAGCACCCTTCTAACCGGTCGCTAGCGGTGTACCAAATTTGAACGCAATCGGCCCAGCCGTTCCTGAGATCTGGAAGCGGCATTCTGCACGTGCGCACGTGCAAACGGGGTCCAAAATGACTTTTGCACGGCACCCTACTAACCGGTCCCCAACCGTGTACCAAATTTGAGCGCAATCGGCCCAGCCGTTCTCGAGATCTGGAAACGCCACGTGCGCACGTGCAGTAGCACCCTAACCGCAACACATGGGAATGCATTGCCTGGTGGGTGCCTACCTGTATGCCAAGTTTCAGCGAAATCGCCCCAGTAATTACCGAGTTACTGAAATGGGAACAAATTTGGCACCTTTTATTGTTGTATTTTGCTCGTGCAGTGGGGGTCACTCACATAGATGAAAAGTATCCGACCTTTGGTAGAAGGGATGCAGCTACCCTATAAAAATGACCGCAAGACAATCGCTCAAGCCGCTGCTGAGATATGGGCCTCTCAAAATCATTACTTTTGCAAAACTGCTTGAACACCCTTGACTTTTCACGTGGCACGTGCCACGGCGGTCACTGAGATGTATCAAAAGTAGTCAATTACGGGGTAGAAGGGATGGGGCTACCAAGCAAAAAAGACCGCAGGCCAATCGGTCTAGCGGTTGCTGAGATATAAGCCTCTCAAAAGCGTTACAGGCCGGGCCGGGCCGGGCCGCTCATACTGAGATTTTTTCCGTTATATTGAAAAGACTTCGCTTCGCTCGCTGCGCTCGCTCGCTCGTAATAACTAATAGGGCGTTGCTAAGAACTGACACGCATAAATCGTTGTGCGCCTAATAATGCTTCACTCATAACTTGCTCACTCGTCATTCGCCCTCCGTCCCGACAGGCGCATCTGACGGTGGGTGACGTCACCTGTCTGACGTCACCGGTCACGCCGGCGGGCCAATGGCGCTCCGACAGTCCCGACACAGTGGAGGTGACGGCAGAGGGTGCCCTGGTGGCCCGCCGGCCCGGTTCAGCAGCTGTCACCCTGACCACAGAGAGCGGCCAGCAGGCGCGCTCCAGGATCACCGTGCAGCCGGTCACTCAGGTAAGGGGCGGGTCATGACAGTGATACCCAAAGCAGGTCACGAAGGTAAAGAATGTGGCACATTGATAGCAGACGGACAGATACCGACAACTCTCGAAGGAAGGCGCTCAGTGTGCACACAGATAATGATATAAGTCCTATTTTGAATTGATTGTACCGGACAGGAGCGTTTCTCGCCAGGCATCTCCTCACTGCATGATTAGTTTTTGTTATCTGTCTGCTCCCAGGTGTGGCTGTCCCGTCCGGTATCGGTGGGCGCGGTGGCCGCCTGCGGCCGGGAGTCGTACCGCCTGCCTCTGAATCTGTCCGGGGAGTCGCCGGTGCCGCCGCCGCCGGCCGCGCGCTGCTCACCCGCCGCTCTGGAGCGTCTGACGGCCGCCAGCCCGGCCTCCTGTCGACTGAGTCTGAGCCGTCCGGCGGCCGGCGTCAGCGCCGACCAGCTGTTCCTGTCCCGCGCCGTGCTCAGCGCTGATACCGGTCAGTGGCGGCGGGGGAGGGGCATGAGGGAAATGGCTGGACAGTCATACAAGTAGTTACATAAATTAGCAGAAAAGCAGTAAATATACAATGATAGATGGTCGACATTTTCAGTAGCTTGCCAATTATTTGTAACTTTATGTATTTCGTGATTATTAGACAGTTGTGGCACGTCTGTGAGATGGTTCGTATTCAAGCAGCGCTTTTTTCTGAGCGTCATAGATAAAGGAAAGTGCATATTACTACCATAATATTTATTTACCTGACTGCGTTGCTCGTTGTTCCGCCTCCGAGTTATGACCGCTTTCTCCCAGTGATTTGACCGCTCCCCTCCCGTCTGCCCCCACCTCCAGTCGGCTACCAGTGCGAGCTGACGCCGCTGTGCCCGGCCGGCGCCGCCGCCGCCCGGATCGCCGCCGACCTGGTGGTCACCGCCGAGGTATCGCCCGGCGGCGGTCAGTCGGCCGTACGCTCCACCCCGCTCACCGTGCCTCTGATGCCGCCCGTCCACCCGGAGACCACGGAGCTGCGGCTCGGTGGAGCGGTGGTCTCCACTGAGCTGAGCGTGCTGGGCGCGCGGGATCTGCTCTCCTCAGTGACGGCAGCGGTGACGGACAGTCGGCTGCTGCAGGTCAGTCAGGGAGGGATGAGATGGGGAACTTGAGAGGACGCCACTGGCGCTGAGTTGTTCATGCGGTGCACGGCAGGACTGGTGTATTGATACTCTTCCTTGACCGGAGTATCGTGCTGTACCGTGACTGTGGAGTGTGCTGCTGTGATGTGATTTACCTCCGTGATTCAATCGTAACGTGTCGCCACGAGTGACTGCGGAGTAACTTGCCGCTGTTAGTGTTGTTTTGACATTAATATAGTACCGTACCGGGTACCGCAGCTGTGATGTTAGTGTGCCGCGCCTCTGATGTTACTCTGACCGGTCTGGTGTACCGGCAGGCCTCTGCTCCGCGGCGGGACGGTGAGCGGCTGGTGGTGACGGTGTCCCTGCGGCCGGCCGCCTGGCTGCCGGGTCCCCGGCCGGCCGACCTGGCTCTCCTGCTGACGGTGGCGGCCAGCGGTCAGACGGTGTCCGTGCCGGTACGACTGTCCGCCACGGACGCGTCCACGCACCCGCCGCCGCCGCCGGCCGGCTGGGGCCACGTGCTGTGGCTGCTGCTCGGCCAGTACTGGAGCTCCGTCTGCTCGCTGCTGACCGCGCTCGGTGCCGCCACTCTGGTGTACCTACTGCTGCGCCAGCTGCGGCCGCCCGCCGCCGCCCCCGCGCCCGCCCAGTCGGCCAGCCCGGCCAAGACGCCGCCGCCGCAGTTTGGCTCTCCGCCGCCGCCGTACCACGCCGACAGCCCGGTCCGGACGCACCTCTGGACGGACGACAAGGGCCCGATCTACGGCAGCCCCAGCCTGGTGCGGCGCTCGCCGTACGACCCGGACCGGAGCCGCGGCTCGCCCTACGCCAACGGAGAGTCGCCGTACAGCCCCCGCTGGTGAGGCGGTGCTATGTGCCGGCGAACGTTACCTTCCGGTGGACGGTGACGGAAACAGTACCACCGTGCCAAGAAACAGGTGATGCCGGAGCAGAGAGCTGCTTGGTGAACAGCGTGGCTTTGGCGTGAAGATGGGAAGTTGCCGGTCGCGAAATCAGCAGCTGGAGAAAAGCTCAAGTACCTCGAGTGGATCTCGAAGCACGGGTTGTTTGCCGTGCCGGACGGATGCCATGGAAGAGGTGGACTTTGGGACTCCTCTGGCGAGCGGACGCGATTGATTTGTCGCTGTGATGCGGACTCTGACGAGGCTAAAACTGTCGATTGTTGGTCGTCGTTGGAAGTGTTCTGAACGTTGGAAGGCCACTCGTTCCGCCATTGAGCGTACAACAGGCCATTGCGGTCAGTTCACAGTCGAAAGTGACTCGAATGACAATCGTCATGGTTCAGCACTGTCTTTCGTGTTTGGACGTTGCGAGTTTGTAACTTGTGAACGCGGCAGGGTTTCGCCATCATCTGTGCGTTGTGTGAAGAGTGACGCTCTGAATGGGGAAGGTGTAAGGGTTGGAGCGAATACCTCCTGGTCTTCATGTGCGCCTTAACCTTTGTTGCTGAGAAACCTTTGTCGAAGAGGGTTTGATTTGTACTTACAAGTCTGATACAGACGAGACGTTTTCGATGCCTCGACTTCTCTGACTCCAAATGTGCCTTTACCTTTGTCTGGCTACCTCTTAGCGCTCAGCTCAATACTTTTGTTAGTGGTTTTGAATGTGAACAGAAACTGTCTTAGTGAGGTGACTCTAGTTTTGTTTTTCTATGGTTTTCATTGACTCTGCCGAGCAACTTGTCTGTTCTGTGCGTCTGCAAAGCGCCTGTTCGATGTTGATGCGCGCGATTGGGCCTGATTGAGCTCTGAGGTGTTCGTGACTTTGCAAGTCTGAGAGGAATTGTCCGGTTTCTGCCACCAATCATCCGTCATTCATCATCTACCTTGCCATTTGTCGAATAAGTCACGAATAAACAGGTTACCGCATTGTGCAATTGATCTGCCTTTATATTTTTGTGGCGAATAGCATATTCTTCAATGCAGATGTTCTGTTGTCAACCTGTTATCCTCGATTAGCTGTTTTCGAGATAATCGTGAGTCCTAGCGTCCCACCCCTGCTACTGTCCTTCGGCTCAGTCCATTCGGCAATGTGCATGCTGGCCCTCCTTGCTTGTGCTGCCTATAATAAGGCTCAATATCTTACAACCCAGCTGCATAGCAACGACATCGTCTCTTGTGTACAACGCCAACCCCGTAACTCGTGATAATTCCCCTCCGGAACCAAAACCCTGAGTTTTAGCTTCATCTAACTCCGCTTACCATTATCTTCAGGCGGCTGTAACTCGGCTGGCGCAGATGTCCTTTTTCCTGGAGAACTTCACTGGTGAGGTGATCGCACCAGTCGCCGGAAACTCGATCAAACCTGGGTGGCCTAAGGAGCAGGGCTACGCCCGGAGCCGCATCTGCTGACCGCGTCTTCTGAGAAACGGATTCAAATATTGAATTGATTTCGAGCCTAGCCAACGCCGTAAAGCTGTCACAAGTGGACATCGAATGGCTCCCCGTGCGTGATGACCAGAGGTCAGTCGTAACAGTGACGTCTTCACCACCAGAAGTGGTAAGCAATCTTACGTTCGACTGTTACTGGAAATGAATCGGGCCTCACGTCGGAAATGGCCATTTGGCACACGGACTTGTCTATATTCTCATTTCTCTCCGATCGATGGGGTCAAGCTATTTGTTTTGCCCGGCCTAACAATTTAAGCGCTTTGAAATTCAATGCTAAAAACTTCCTAACTTCATTTTAACTTCATTGTTATAAGAAGTTTCATCCCTAGTAGCACATCAACATTGTATCGATGTTGTATCAATATTGACAACAATGTTGTATCGATGTCAATCTGTTAGCCACTTTCAACATTGATACGATGTTGAATTTCGACATCGTATCAATATTGACAGGACAACATTGTACAACATTGTTTCGATGTTGATACAACATTGTCTCGATGTTGATTTTTGGTTGATTCAGCATTATCTCGATATTGATTTCTGGTTGATTCAACATTGTCTCGGTGTTGATACAACATTGTCTCGATGTTGATTCTTGGTTGATTCAACATTGTTTCCATGTTGATACAACATTGTCTCGATGTTGTTGTCGACAGACCTATACGTGTACGAAATCACGTATCCCGTAATTACCTAAAATATTCCAGTGTCACCGTCACAGTCAATATTCGGGGGGAAAATGTATTTCTATGATATATGCAGTATGCACAGCTCTTCACTTTTTTCGAGTCAGCTACACTTCACACATCACGTCACGTCACACAACCTCGCCCTCGGCCGCCGCTCAGTCTCCGACATTTTCACATCTTGAGCGGTTGAGTCAGGGCCATGGGGGTTGAGTCGCCCGTCGAGCCTCGCACTCCTGTAACAAAGCGAAGATTCCTATGTAACAACGGTCATAGATTGGGCCTTTGAGTAAATTCAGTTCAGTCATTTTCAGCTCAGATAATAGATACTTATGTAAGTGCATTTAGTATGACGCATGCACCCTTAATACGTCCCACTACCCTGCATCTATTCTTTTATACTTACCGGGCCGTGTTTCAAGGCATGGCACTACATGACGCCACCGGCAGCACTTTTTCCCTTTGCCGCAGGCAAGTGAGTGACGACGGTGATCGCCACCATTTTGAAGAGAACGTTTCAGCGCCAGTTTTTTTTTTTTTTTTACTTAGCACTGCAATATTATAGGGTGACCGGTTTTGCAAGAAGTTTCGAAAAGTTTTGCTCCCCAGGTCTAATCTAACGTATTTGGGGGTGCTGATCACGAATCCGGCGGAAAAAATATAAAATTCGAATTTTTTTTGACCGCCCCGGCTCTTTGAATATTTCCGGTTTTCTCAATTTTTGCATGTTTTTGCATAATATGATGAATGTAATGAAAAAATATGAACAATGTATCGCTAAATGCATGTACCAGTCGATTCGGCATACAGCGACGTCGAAATCGGCACGCCGCCTGCTTCACCGGCCTCGCAGGAAAGCATAAGGCTCGGAAGGTTTGCGTTAGTTACCCGATTCTCTCCATAGATGGCGCTGGCGTAGCCGCCCGCCGGCCGGTCGTTGCCGTGCCGTTTACAGCCCCGGCGGTCACTTGCGACCGTCGTGGTCGTTATGCTACGTCTATCAAAGCACGACAGAAATGTTCACTTCATTTTTATGCTACTTCAGACATATTTTAGACCTAATGTTGAATTGGATAAATGACTATCGTGAATTGGCGAAATAATGGAGTGCGCTCGGGAGCCATTTACAATAGCGAGGAACGTAGGTGGATTGATCTGAGTAACATATGACACTTCGTTCACTGTTGATATTAAGTTTATTCACACTATGTAGTCGGGTGACATGAGAACAGAGTGACTAACATACCTTGTGTACGACACATGGATGAAGCTAATGCTACTTTTTCATTTTGTTTCGGTAGGCCCGTTTGTTCAGAGCGTAGCCGTCCTGTCGGTCTGCGCCTGTTACAGCTGTGACTGATTCGGTGGTCAGCTTTACAGCCCTTTCGGTGGATTGGGTATGGCAAGGGGCCCCCGTTTTAAGGGGAGTCTGTAGAAAGTCGCGCAACTCATCCTCGCTCATGTGTCGTGCACAAGGGGGCTCAATGTCTCGGCCTTCGTCAACCGATCGCTGCACGTTAACCAGTTCCGTAGGTATAGTTGTTCGCTTGAACGTTAATTTCCGGCAGCCGGAAGTGCCGAATGGGCTGCTGCTGTGGCGGTGGGGGTGGCAGCTTTGGCGGCGGTCGTGGCGGCGGTGCCGGCGGTGGTGGTGGTGGTGGTGGTGGTGATGGCCGCCGCCGTTTCAGACGACGCTGCTGCTGTTGTGGCGGCGGCGGCGGGGGCGGTGGCGGTGGTGGTGGCGATGGCCGCCGCCTCTGTCGCCGCTGCTTCTGCTGTGGCGGGGGCGGGAACGGCGGCTGCTCCTGTCGCTGCCTTTTTTGACGAATGCTCTGGATTATGCGGACTGCATCTGCCCTAATGCCATGCCCGCGCCACAGCAGAAGCAGGGGTGACAGAGGCGGCGGCCATCGCCACCACCACCGCCACCGCCCCCGCCGCCGCCGCCACAGCAGAAGCAGCGGCGTCTGAAACGGCGGCGGCCATCACCACCACCACCACCACTGCCGCCGCCGGCACCGCCGCCACGACCGCCGCCAAAGCTGCCACCCCCATGGGTGGAGAATGTTTGAAAAAGTTACCCCGGCCGGCGACCGATAGTCGCGGGAAGACGATATACTCACGTTGTTCTCAACGGTCATCATCAAACCCCTATTCTGACGCATGGAATAGGATGCTGTGTTTGCTCAAGGATGAGCGTTGTATCCGACACCGTATTATTCATAACATTTTTGGAATGATCGAAAAGGCAATTTCCTTTTAAATTATTATTTCTTTTTGCTTAAACTTGCAATTTCACACCGAACCCAAACCAAACCATATGCCATTTTGAGTACCTAAATGTTGCGTTTTCAGCTTTTTATTGTGTCTCAAAATAGCTACAAAAAGACAACTCACCATAGTAGAAGCTTTACAGAGAAATTGACAGATCGAACCAAGTAAAGCACTAAAATAGGTCACTGACATCCACGGGCGTAGCCTTTTTCAATGTTGGGCGGCTCTTATAATACAAACAGGGAGTCGATCCAGGAATATCGACCGGTCCCGGTCTCGTAGCTCAGTTGCTAGAGCGTTGGATTCCGCGTGGCGAGAGCACGCGGCCCGGTTACAACAGTCCGAGTTCGAAGCATGATGGCCGCTCGGTGTTTATGAGCACCCTGACGGGTACGCTCATAAACGGGTGTGGTTGCGGTTGGTGGCAGGTCAGTTGAAGGCAATGAGGTCAAGCAGTAGTTTTGAAAAAGTGCGCCGAAGGCGCGCCAAAATTTCGAAACTGAACAGGATTTGAGAGCAATCTTGGCATTGGCGACCACACGCGGGTCTTAGGGTTGGAGATTATGGCAAGTTAAGTAAATGGTAAATACCTACCTGATTTGCAATATTACGCCCATGGAAGTCAACATTCGAAGAGCGTGAGTTTTCTTTTCTCGTATGGAGACAGCTTTTAGGATTTACAAGAGTAGAAAAGTTACCCCGGCCGCGCCGGGGTAGGCTGAAAGTTACCCCGGCCACGGCCGGGGTGGCCGGGGCAGGTTCTCCACCCATGGCCACCCCCACCGCCACAGCAGCAGCCCATTCGGCACTTCCGGCTGCCGGAAATTAACGTTCAAGCGAACAACTATACCTATGGAACTGGTTAACGTGCAGCGAGCGGTTGACGAGGGCCGAGACATTGAGCCCCCTTGTGTACGACACATGAGCGAGGATGAGTTGCGCGACTTTCTACAGACTCCCCTTAAAACGGGGGTCCCCTGCCATACCCAATCCACCGAAAGGGCTGTAAAGCTGACCACCGAATCAGTCACAGCTGTAACAGGCGCAGACCGACAGGACGGCTACGCTCTGAACAAACGGGCCTACCGAAACAAAATGAAAAAGTAGCATTAGCTTCATCCATGTGTCGTACACAAGGTATGTTAGTCACTTTGTTCTCATGTCACCCGACTACATAGTGTGAATAAACTTCATATCAACAGTGAACGCAGTGTCATATGTTACTCAGATCAATCCACCTACGTTCCTCGCTCATGGCTCCCGAGCGCACTCCACTATTTCGCCAATTCACGATAGTCATTTATCCAATTCAACATTAGGTCTAAAATATGTCTGAAGTAACATAAAAATGAAGTGAAAATTTCTGTCGTGCTTTGATAGACGTAGCATAACGACCACGACGGTCGCAAGTGACCGCCGGGGCTGTAAACGGCACGGCAACGACCGGCCGGCGGGCGGCTACGCCAGCGCCATCTATGGAGAGAATCGGGTAACTAACGCAAACCTTCCGAGCCTTATGCTTTCCTGCGAGACCGGTGAAGCAGGCGGCGTGCCGATTTCGACGTCGCTGTATGCCGAATCGACTGGTACATGCATTTAGCGATACATTGTTCATATTTTTTCATTACATTCATCATATTATTCAAAAACATGCAAAAATTGAGAAAACCGGAAATATTCAAAGAGCCGGGGCGGTCAAAAAAAATTCGAATTTTATATTTTTTCCGCCGGATTCGTGATCAGCACCCCCAAATACGTTAGATTAGACCTGGGGAGCAAAACTTTTCGAAACTTCTTGCAAAACCGGTCACCCTACAGTGCAATAACTAGGATAAATGCACTGATTGTCACACAGCAGAAACTGGCGGAAACCTACATGGTCGGAAGAGGAGACGCAAGACGACACTGGACACCACACACTCAACACACCCGTCCGCACTCTGCGAGCCGGCACAACGGGACGGGGACGCGCGGTCCCCTGTCGCGGTCTCCCCCTCGGTATATAGGGCCTTGTCCCCCTCTAGCCGGAGGCGAGGATGGGACCGCCCGCTGCCGGCCGCGTACAGTCTTCAAAACGGTCAGCGCCCAACGGTCGCTAGATTCCAGTCAGTACGGTCTCTGAAAGAGATCAACGCACGACTGGTAGGACCTACCGTGATACTGAATGGCACCGGTGGCACCCGAATAAAATAATGCCTATTACAATAATGCTGCTTAATTCAACGTAGGTTGAGGATGTTATAAAAGGATTTATGAAGTAGAGCTATCTTTATTTAAGGATCGATTCACATTATAACTCTCTATACCTATGTCATATTCAAGACGTAATATGCCTATATAAGATACCAATAGGTACTATTTCTATAAGACCATATTCGTTTTGTTGGAACCTCAGTGATCCCACCCTTACTAGTCCGATTGACGCCTTAGGACCTGTCGAGCTCATGGGACCCCTTACACCCGAGGGGGCATTCTCCCTTTAATGTTGTCAAGTGTCAACACAACTGCGGGGCAATATAGTAATTAAATCACAATGTTGGAATTCTACTTTTATCAATATTGTGAAATCAACATCATGACAATGTTGTATCAATGTTGAATCACAATGTTGAAATTCTACATCTGTGGATATTGTGAACTCAACATTGGGACAATGTTGTATCGATGTTGAACTACAATGTTGAACTTCAACCAAGATTCGACAAAGCACAACCAAATTTCAACGTGATATCAACGTTGAATCAATGTTGAATTCGTGTTGAAGCACCAATATTGACAATCAACCTGATTTCAACATATCTCGATGTTGTATCAATGTTGTGTGCTACTAGGGATCCTTTTTCTGGATCCTCAAATTGCTCACATGAGTCGCAGTTGTGCTCCTGTTATGTTTTCTCTCATTTTTTTTTTGTTGCTCATGGTACTTTTTATGCGATCAAACTCGTTAATGAGCGAATCCTCCCCGTCCGCGCCCCGTGGTGTTGTGACCTTTCCGCGCTGCCAGCATGAGCAGCGGGCGCCGGCCGTCTGCTGTGCAGTGACCCCTCTCCGCGCGCCGATCGGCCGGCCGGGCTCACCGACCGGCCGGCGGCCAGCTGATATGCGCCCGGCCGTGCCGCGCTGGCAGTCGCAGCCGACATTTAGTACCGCCGACGCTTAGTACCGGCGCGACTGGCGGCTGCGCGCGGTGCCAGCCGGCCGGCGCGCCGTCTTACATTTCAGTGAGCCGAGCGGCGGCGCGGCGGCAGCGGCGCGCGGTGCGCTCCGCTGGCGCCCAGAGGCCGCCATGGCGAGCGCCCGGTGACCGCTGGCCGGCGCGGCGCTGCGTGACCTGACCTGACCTGACCTGAGCTCGGGTGGCGAGAGGAGAGAGTGCACAGACCGCCGGCGCCGGCCGCCGGCTCTACAGGAACTGGTGAGTAGCCCTGGGGCTGAGGTTTCCCGGGATGACCCTTAGATGACCTGCCAGGTCGGGGGACGTATAGGGGATCCCTTACTGCGGTGATTTCACAGGCTCAATATCAATCTTCAATCTGTTTTCTCGGGACATCTGATCCCCCGCAGACATGTGACACCGACTCCGCTAACCACACTCACAGGCGGCGCGGTGCGGTGGCTGACACCCGCCGGTACGCGGCGGGCAGCCCAGGCACGTCGGTAAAAACCGCACAGGTAGCCCCAATAATAGACATCGGCTGTGCCGGTGACCGTTAGCACCGGCATCCTCGCCTCTGAATTGTCCTGTGGCATCCGAAGTAAGTCTATAACCCATCTCTGGCATGGGTTGGTGTCTGGTGGCTACCCTTCCGGTCAAATCGTTCACTTCCGCGATCACGCTTGCAGTTAGTCCTTGCCTGTTCGGTTTCAACGTTTTGTCGGCTTGGCTCGGTGACTCGGTGCCGTTTACCCATCGTTCCGGCGTGTGCCATGCTGTTGCTGTTTGAGCGGGGAATCCGGCATTGTAGTGGTGCCGACGGACAGCAGGGGAGCTCTGTAGTGGGAAACTGTCGGCTGTGGACCGTTCCGCGTGCACGGGTGACTCCGACAGACCGGGAACGGCGTGCGGCGAACGAACTCCCGCTGAGAGGGGAACCAGTGAGGGGGAGGGGGAGGAGTGGAGTGGGTCTGTAATTGTATGGCATTGGGCTGCTGCCTCGGTCGTTTATTGGCGTTAGCATCTTTGGGCATCTCTTATGTTTGTATAAGTTCTCCGGCTTCGCATCTCACATCCCTAAGTGCCTATAGGTACATAATTATTTTCCCCTAGGTGTGGCTGTGAGCGCTAGATATTGCAACCTCTTTTGACTAAAGACGGATTTAAGTCCGTGTTTGTGGACGCATCTCTTTACTTCCTCTTTTGTTGCCAAGCAGCTGTTGTTCTTTCCCCTCTCTTGTCAGGGTTTTGCCTTATACCACCGCGGCCCCAGTGGCGAATTTCTCGGTCTGGGCAAACTTCCAGCGCCGTTGCCAGCGGCATCATCCGAGGCTCTCCAATAATACGTCATCGTTCCAGGCTGGGCGGGGTCAGCCAATAGCGAGAACAGCTGGGGGAAACTCAGGGAAAATACTGATGGGAACAGCCGCCAAATCAGCAACATGCTGCTAACATGCACACTGGACAGGTTTCAACCACAAGACACTTCCCATCTAAGAGACTTTGCATCCTGTTGAATTCACTTTATAATTGGATGCACATAATTTTACAGAAAATGTGAACTGCGGGTAGTTTCATTATTACCATATTGATACGTGACATGTAAATCCAGATATACTGGGACATGTCGGATTATTGACAGAGCAAAACCGACCGGAATACGCATTTGCTGGTGTCTGGGTGTGGCAAAAATGCTGTTTTGATTATCATTACAATAACTAAAAACAATCGGTAATGATATTTAACCATACAAATCGACTGATCACAACTATCGCATTTTGTGTGACTGAGTTCACTGTTCAGTGCTTACAGTGGATGAAGAGTTTCTAGCTTTCCATCATGATGCGCTTTGTGGTCTACCGCCGTCTATCCAGCGCTGCGGATCAGTTTGCATCTTTTTCGCTTCGTCTTTCGTTACCTACCGCTGTCGGGCAGCTCTGAGAGACCAGTGCGGTACATCCACTCGTGTTGACATGTCTCCGGTCGCGTCTGACCGGCTCGACTGCCCTGTCAGCGCCGCCCGGTGATAAGGCCGTGTTCACTGCGACGAATAACGGGTCGGTGATCTGTGACCGATGCCGTATAATCTGTTTGTGACCGTGCCGCGGGCCCGGCCTCCCCGGAGCCGCCTCAGCTCCCTCAGGGGTGATCAGACTGGGGTCAGCTGGGGGAGGGAGAGGTGCAAGGCGCGGTGCTGACTTCTATCCGAGGGAGATGCCGCCTGTATGCGCGGCGATATTCCTGTAACATCGCCGACCGACAACAGGCGGTTACTGGCTCATCGGATATTGATGAGCAGAGCTGGGCCTGCAGATTGGACCGAGGAGCGGCCCGTACCCAGTGTCCTGACTCGAGTCGTGTCAGCCACGGACCGACTGGCTATGAGAGACATTGCCTGATGCGGTCATGGCGTCGGCAAATGTCACTGACAGCCGACCGACCCATGCCAATTGGGTGAGGCCATCCAGCGGGTTGTCTCGGGCCGCTGAATTTCGGCGTGGACCAGCTGCTCTGAGAAGTTGGGTCAGGAGTGTGGGCGGGTGGCCATTCAGTTCTGGTGACTGCCTAGCGGGGGCGGTGGGCCGATTCGCCTGCTCGGTGGTGCATGTCGAGCGGCCAATTGCGCTAATCAGCGGACGTCTGGAAGAGTTGCAGCCGCGGCCGCCCGTCGCCTCCACGGCTCCCTGCCTCCGCCCTGCCCCCGCCCACCTTCCCGTCTACCGGCCTACCCCACATCGAGGCTGGGTCCGGCCCGGCAGCTGGCAGGCAATAAGTCAACACAACTCGAACTCTCAAACTCGCAAACTCTTGCTCAAGCTAAAACTTTCGAGATACGTTTCTCTGGAGAAGGCATCTGTCAACTCTGGTCTTGTCTCTGTTGTCAAAGGTCAGAGTCTTTATCCACCAGCCCCTCACGATGGCACCACTTGCTCTCTTCTCGGGCCGCTACTCCGATGAAGCTTTGGTCCCTACAGGAACTGCGGCTCTCCGCTGGGACTACGGTTTTCAAATGATCTTGATGCGCATCAAAAGCGATATGTGCTGAATTCCTTTGATCTTCACCTATCAATTTATCCGTGACATGTAAAACTGCTGCAATGCCGGCTGGTTGTAACAGATCGCGCGCCTAGCGAGTAGCGGTCGAGTTGCGTGTCTTTTCTGACCGCCCTGTAGAGTTGCATATCTATTCTGTCCGCCCTGTGGAGTTGCCTATCTATTCGGTCCGCCCTGTGTGGTCCCTCCCGGTCGCCCCGCCGCCACGGTCCGCCGCCTGCCGCCGCTCTCGACTCGCCTGGCACCCCCGCTCGGCGGCCCTGGTGGTGCGTCTATAAGTAACCTGTTTGAGCTCTGTGGAAGGTGTGTGCGCGCCACTGGCGGAGGGATACGCCGAGCACACGGACGGCGGGCGCGAAACGCCGTGGGTGTTTGTCGTCATGCGGTGGCGTCTAATTGTCACTCCACCTTGCCCTAGCTCTTTCAAAACAGTATTTCAGCCTAATTCTGTCCAGCTTCGTCTGTCGAGCTCCCTTTAGTCCAGCATGTTCGCTATATCGTCCAACTACTTTCAGCTGCGATCCATCCAGATCCAGCTACGATCCGGGCAGCCGCTTGAATCCACCTAGCCCTAGTCTGTCCTGCTCCGCCTGTCCAGCTCTAACCGCCCCACTGTGCTCGTCGTTCCCAGTCCCAGCGGCTCGGCGCGCCTGTTCGGCTGATGCAACGCGTGTCCGCCGACTGTCGACACATTTCGGGGCCACGATCGCCTCTGTCGCCAGTCGTCGCTGTATTGCCGGCTGTGTGATATTGGTTGTCGTGTGACTGATGCCATCCGAACGCGACCAGACAGCGAATGACGCGCAGGGCCTGTCGCGGTCTTCCTCCGAGCTTTCTGACCTCCCAGCAACGTTCCCCTTGTTCTGTCTTTTCCACTCCTCTCTCCTGGCGGTTCCCGGTGGGTGAAGTTTAATGTTTATCTTTACCTTATTGCAGGGCGCAGCTCTCGAGTGTATGTATATAATTTGGTGCCTTAACATGAGCCTTAAGACTAATGAAGTTACAGACCAATTAAGCTTGCAAAACTGAGTGTTTTCAGTAGTAAATAATTTTTACTAAAAACTACACTAATCGTAGCGTTAAAATGGCGCTTCTGTAGGTATGTATTGCTGAAAGTTTTTACGAATAGCCGTGGTTTTTCGAATAATAAATCGCATGCTAGGACTGTAATAGGTCCATCATTACGACTGCATCTCATAATCAGGCGCGTGGTGACATTGCTGCCGTTGGTCTCACAGGAGCTAGGTCTCTGGGTCGTAGCGCGTCCCTGTTGTATCCCTGGTCCACGTAGTCCTTCCCTACCAGTCAAGCGCCCCTGACTCTGGTCGGTACTGGGGCCCGCGATGGAGCAGCCTTCCGTCGTGTCGTGTCGGTCGGCGCGGTCACTGGTTTATACTGACTACTGGGAATGACGGAGTAGAAGCCCCCGTGTCGGTTTCCGCCTGACATCGGTAGAACAGTCCATGGCCCGTATCGGGCTGGTCGGCGCGCCGGTCTATACCGACCACTGAGGTCAGTACAGCCTCACGGGCCGAGCCGGGTCGGTCGGCGCGGCCACCGGTCTACATATACCTACCGACTGCTGGGGAGGCAGAGCAGTAGCCCCGGGGCCGTGTCGGGTTGGTCGGCCGGGCCGCCGGTCGGTACAGGGGCTGCCCCCGGGCCGTGTCGGGTCGGTCGGCGCCTGTAACAAATAGCCGGCACGCGTGACGTCAGCACGACGCTGGTGGCCGACAGCCAGCGGCCGAGGAGGCACCTGCACCCTTCACTCGACGGCCTGTGGCGACCCCCTTTTTGGGACGGGGAGGGAATGCTATGCGAATAACTAGGAACCGCCGTTCAGGAGCTGGGGAGCCGTTTTTGGGTGCAGTGGGATGAATCCATCTGGCGGATAGCCTATGGTTGGGGCTACACAGTATGCAGTCGCTATCCGTTGGACGGAAAGCCACCGTGAGCTGGGACATGAGCTATTGTCTACCTGGACGGACAGCTACTGTCTACTGGGTCACTTGCTTTCCCAAAGGGACCGAGATGACCGGTGACCGTTTGCTGCTTCAGCAGACAGCAACATCCCCACTCCTCAGGTCAGCACCCATCGCTCACGGCTGCCCCCTGTCCTGCTCTGACCTAGAAAGGACCATCTGAGGAGGCCCCATACTGCAGACAAATTGCCGAAAAAGATAAATTGCCATTAGTGTCCCAGGTCTCAATGATGGACAGTAATGATGGGCTAATGTGGGTCACCTGAATGATTTGTTGCCATGGGTAGTTGACAGTACTGTGTGCATAATCAAGGAATGCTTTCGGAGTCTGCTTGGCCTGTCTTTCAGTGAACGACTCATGTTGAAACAACTTCAGCGTCAAATATATCCCGCCGTCGATTGCTTGTTATCATTCGCTGTCGAAAACGTGGACGCGGCTAATTTCGTTCGACTCCGGACTGCATCACACGGTGAATCACGCCGAATCCTGCCCACTTCAGTGCCAAGCGAGCAGCCAATCGAATACGCGCTGCTCTAGCCCAGTTTCTTAGTAACGATGCATCTCGTCTTCCACGTACCGTGGTCCATGCCGTCCAGTGGTCGGGCATGGACGTTGGACAAGCCCGTTTAACCCGTGCACCTACACCGGTCATACTGCTGCAGTTCATTAGAACCTCATGCTGCCGACTCAGGCAGGGTTCCAAGGGTTCCCAGAGGCCTGGTCTGTCCGCCTCCGTCCGCCGGAGCACTTTCCTGGCAGGCCGGCGCCTTAGCCGCGATGCAGAAGACCCCGGCTAGAAATTCTGATGTGATGCTCGATTGCTCGTCTCAAACATTTTCAGCTCCAGACACCACATCACCGACGCTGCCTTTGCCGACTCATAGTTCACCGTCCAGAGATAAACTCGCCAGAGGTATGAGGGATACGAGAATAAAGTATCTGGCTCGTCTTGTCGACTGTCGTAGCGTAGACCACACGACTCCTTTGCCTTCCCTCGCCGCACCGCCAGTATGAAAACTCGTCTCACGCCACACCTTTCAGGACGGGCCCGGGCCAGCTGGCGACGAACGAGACACAGCTGCGCGCCTCGTTCGATCTACGCACAGCTGAGAGTGTGTTCGATCACTGCTCACATTGTCCGTACGCTGTCCGTCTGTTTGCCCGTCTCTGTATGTCAATATGTGTGCTCTCCTGCCCGTCTCCTTCCTGGCACTATCTCCCCAGCTACCACTGCCGCCCACGCGCCACCTCCCCTAACCTCTGTCTGAGGCGACAGACCCTGTAACCGGGGAAGGAGTCACGGCCGTTAATATAACGACTCCTCTACACAGCAGCTAGCCGTGACTCCGACCCGGGCGGAGTCAGGCTGACTACCTACCGCTGCCAGCTCCGCGACCCCGCCGACCGGGCAGCGGCCGGGGCGCGGGTGGCAGCGCGGACCGTCAGCCTCTGTTCTGCTACAATGACGTCATGCATGGTTGTCTTGACGACCGGGCCGGCGCCGGCGGGTCCAAAATAAGCGTCCGGTGGCGCGGTCGGCTGGCGGCCGGCGGCTGGGTGGGACACGGAGATGGCGACGGCGGTGGTGGATGACCGCTTCTCCAGTCTGGTCGGTCGTAGTTACTGACGGCGTGCTGGGCCGGGATGCCCTCTTACCTGACAACGAATGTCATCCCTTACCTTTCCCTAATGATCCCTCGTGATAATCAGCTCTCCTATGGTGAAAATTAGGGCACCTTATTGTTATCAATCGTTTAGGAGGTGCGTTATACGCGTTCGCTGAGCGATTCAGCCTTTACCTGCTAAGACAGTCAGTGGTATTCCCCGGCCGATCGAGCCTGAATGTCACTGCCCACCAATCGAGCCAAATGTCCGAGCGCCAATCGAGCCAAATACTTGAGCATCCATCGAATCGCGATGAGCTGACGTGTAATGAGCCGAACAGGTGTACCTGTCTAACGTTGACGGTACACTGTGCGCAGGTTACGAGCGCGCTGTGACAGTGTGCTTGTGTCGTGTTTCAGGTCACAGTGGGAGCGCAGTGACTAGTGAGAAAAGTGAAACGGGAGCCGGACCCAGGAGGGTCACGCGGCTGTCACCATGGGTGTCTCCGAGGGCCAGATCAACAACATCATGGGTGGGATGGAGACGACCGCTGGGGTGCGGCTGCACAACCACCGGCACAAACTCAAACAGAGGTGAGTCGGTGACAGATCCAGAGGTTCTTCAACCACCGTCACAAACTCAAACAGAGGTGAGTCGGTGACAGATCCAGAGGTTCTTCAACCACCGTCACAAACTCAAACAGAGGTGAGTCGTGACATCCGTGACAAATTCAAATGGGGGTCATTTGGTCGCCGACAAATAGCCTCTCACTAGTTATTTCGAAGGATAAGACTTATATTTGATTATTTAATTTTGACCTTCCAAAGAAGTGTCGGATTTATGCCAGCCTCAGTGACGCGAGAAGGCACGCATGCCATTTCAGTGTCAGCCGTCACATTTGCAGTATTTTCGTCTGCATGCTATTTCTCTCTGAAGGCAGCCGAAAATCCGGTCCATGCTCGCAATGTTGACGTCACTCTGGGCAGTCTGCCACTGGCTGCGCACTCGTCCCGAGTCTGGCCCAGCCCGGCGGCTGGCTGGCGGCCCGGCCCGACGGACGGTGACATGTGCCCGACGCCGACGGGCGACGGGACTTCGGACCACTGCACTGCAGGCGTCCGTGTGCCTGACGTTGGTACGGGTAGGGAGAGAGGATGTCGGGAGCTTTGACATCAGGTGACTAAATGTTTAACACGAATATGGCTTCATATTGAGGTGACTTCTTAAAAAAGTTCGTTTATCTCCACCTTTTCTGATATAAACGTCCCCATCTACCATGATCCACAATACGAAAATACCGTATGTTTGACAGCCGTGTCGCCCCGCCGCCGCTGTCGCCGCTCTGCGTTTGTCAGCCACAGATCGGGCCCCGGTCGGACGGACGGACGGACGGACCGAGCTGGCGGTGACGTCACGCCGCCGACCTACACGGACCGTTCGCTGTTGATAAATATTTGATCGGCGGCCGTGCGCCCCGGTCGGGCGGGCGGGCAGAGGTGTTGGTGCGGGACCGGGCTGTCGGGTGTCCTGTGTCGTAGGAAGACGTTTCATTGTTCACTGTCCTGCTGTAGACTGAAACCGGGTGAAAACTTACTTCTCAGTCGTGCACGGCACAGACAACTTGTCACGACGTCTGTCACTCCCCTCTCCGTCTCCGACCTGTGGTCCGTGACGGCAGGTTATCACCCCTCCATCAGTACGGCGGCCTCCGCTGCTGGCCCACCCGTTACCCCTGCTCAGGACCGCCACAGCTCGTGCACCAGATTTCCATCGGCGCACGTGGTCGGCCGGCCGGCCGGGTCGCCTCATTTCGCCTCATTTCGCCGTCATTTGGCTCAAAGACCGGGTGTGCTGCTCAGATCATACAGTAGAGGTGGCAAAAGATGAAAATTTTGGGAACCAGACTCGAACCAGACCCGACTGGACATTTCTGGAACCAGTCGGACCCGGTCTAAGTTTGAATCGGAACCATTTGGACCCGTTCCCAAAAAGTCAATTAATACAAATTACTTGTAGGTATCATTAGGTGCATAATGTAAAACAGCCTTTTCCCACTGAGAATACTCATGAGCTACTGTGTGTAAAGAAACATTCACTTCATTCACTTCATATTTTGCAATAATGTGTAGTGTGCAAGATGTATAGTTTATGATAATTGGTAGGACCCAGTTGGACCCGTCAGAAAATTTCCAGGAACCGGTCTGGACCCATATGGGTCCAGACTGGTTCTTTGGACCGGGTCCTCGGGTCCACATTTTGCCATCTCTATCATACAGCCTCACGTGAAATCGAGCTTTCCAATTGACGAACGGTAGGACGTATCGCTTATCTACCACAGCTGCCTTATCGGCAAATGACAGTTCAGTCCTTTCCCGACACTCGACAGCGTCCATGTGTCCATTTTGCATAATTTCGACACCCGGTGTCCGTCCTCGGGGCAGGGAGTCGCTGTCTGGACATCGCCTCCGACCTGTTCAGTGTTCAAGAAACGTCGGCAGGTCCTCCTAGCCGCTGTTTCTCGCCTACTCCGACCCTACTAGCTCCTCCCTGTTCTGTTAGTACGCGAGTTAAACGTATTCACGGCAATAGCTGTTCCGTCAGAGTTTCCGTTTATGGCCCATTCCAGGTATAGTGTCAGCTCCGTCAGAGCCATGTTTCCGGCGTGCTCTGAGCAGAGGCGGGTCACGGGGGCCGTCCGGCCTGGCGCTCGGCCAGCCGTTCTGTGTGCGTGGCACGCGCCCCGCAGCGCGGAAGTAGCGCTCCCATTGATCAATCTGCAGGAGGACAGGTGTGCAGGCGGTCCGGCCCAGGCGCCGCCGTCGCCACCGCCTCGGGACATGGGTGGGGACGGCTGGGATGTCGACAACAGTCGCTATCGTCGTCACCATCTTTAGCGACTCGGAGGAGGCAAACAGAGAGCAGGCGGAACACAAGTAATTGATGACGAGCGGCTGTTGATTGCTGATGCTCGAGAGTTATTTATGTGGTAGCGGTCTCAACTATTTTCGAAAAGGGATGTTAACATGTTTTTCCAGTGAAAATGGAAACGGTCATACATATACCTATTGGGTTTAAACTGATTCAGCCATTCGTTTCCGGAATAAGATTCCCCTAAATTCCGTTGTCAATGGTATCTTGTTCTCCAATAGCAAGAGCTATCGATTTCTCAAACGAATAAGCACTAACCTTTCGTAGTAGCATCCGCTGACCATTTCTCAGCCACTCAGACGTTCTCTGGTGGCCGTCACGGCCCGAGTGTCGCCACGGTTGTGGATCTGAGAACCTCTCACAGACTAAATACCGTATCAAGTAGCCCATCGTGCCGTTCTGTAAGGAGCCAGGTTGATAAAATGGACTGGATCCGTCTTCAAATGTTGTTTCTTCTGGCATTGGAAAAGAGCCGCTTTGTGTCGTGGGAGTTCACACGTCACCATGATCATATATCAGCCCGATGGCCAACCGAAGTTGGCAAGGCATTCAAATCGCGTTTTTGTCACAGCTATGACTTATCCTGCCTCACTATGTGTTTTGGCATGATTCTGATTGACATTTTTTCATTACTCCTTTTCTCAAATAAGTCCAGATATCGTTGCCAGATATCGTTGCGAAGATCCTTCGAAGCCGAGCGGTAGTCCGGTTTATGCCGTTGGCACAACCTCCAGTTCCGTTGAAACGATTTCATTCGGTTTCCATCCCCGTAATGTCAGGGGCAATCCCGTTCATACTGTCAGCGACGGTATGGCTATCTCGGCGAGATGTTCAGGCGCGCGGCTGGCTTCCACTCTGACGCCCACTTGGCGACAGGACGTTCAGCGTCACCGGGATGATCCTCAGACGGATCCGACCGGCCATCGGTCTTCGGGCTCTGAGTCAGCGGGCAGGAGTGGACCGGGTCCACCGAGCCGTGAGTCAGAGTCGGGGCACGGCCGCCGCTCTCCCGTCTGACTCGATGTCTGTTCTCGTCACGGTCACGGCCCATGTAGTGCCGTCGGCGTGTCCAGAGCTGTCGGCGGCCGGACTGCCTCTGGAACTTCTGACTCGGTCTGTATCTGAGGGCTGTGGCCCGGTTTGTGGTTGAAGGCTGTGACTTGGTCCGTCGCTGGGGGGCCGTGGCCGTGGCCGCCGTCCAGCACAGGGTCGGGTCAGTCTGGACGCCCCCCCCCCCCCCCGGCGGCGGTGGTCAGATGCCCCGCGGCGGGGCCGGGTCGAGCGGGGGCAATCGATACGCAGTGGCGCCGCACCGTCTGTCGGTCGGGGCCCGAGCCGGCGGCGACTGGGAAGAGTGATACGGACACATGGGAGCGGGAGCAAAGGTCATCGTACGGTGGGAGGGGCGAGAGGGAAATTGGACGTCACAGCGACCACAGCTTGTGAGGATTCGCGCCGTGAGCTGTCTGCCGTATTGGTTATTTAGCCTTGGCCGTATCGCTCGCCACGCGCTCGGCTCGCACTTGCCTGAAAGGTAGACTGTGCCACCGCGCACCGCTGCTGTGCGGGTGGCCTAACCGCCGCTCCCGGCCGGCCCTATGACTCACAGCGCGTCGAAGGTGGATGGTTATTCCATCGGTTCTAATTCTGTCGATCGTTTATTTTCATGTGATCACACATGTTCTCTGCAAATATTAATTTTGAATCAGTCACCGTCAGAGGTTCATTGACGTATTGATAAATGCGTAACCATGTCGTCGAGGCGTTGCGTCCATTCATCGAATGCGTGACTGTTGACTAACGATGATGTATATGCACTCTATCGCAGCCATGCCGTGCGCGCTAGTGAATGCTGCAGACATGCAAATCGACCACTATGCCATTAACACGTCGTGGTCTTCTTTTCAGGTTTGATATAGTGAAGAAGCTGGGCCAGGGCACTTATGGAAAAGTACAACTGGCTATCAACAAGGAAACAGGCCAAGAGGTAAGGCACGGGATGTGTTTTATCTGCACTCTGCTGGTATACTACATCGAGGCATGGTTATACGAATGTCTCCATTCAGACTTCAGTGCTGAGTTTCTCCGACCGTAAGATCCGGCGGAAGTAAATGAGATCCCTGAGTTCAAAGCCGACGTCGGAGCTGGTTTCCTCCGGGACCGTACCAAACGACTCAGGGGACTCCCGCGTCACTGGCCCGAATGGGCTCTGTGTCCGGCTCGATTGAGTCGTCCGGTTCGAGCCAGAGCTGTCCGCGGCCAGTCTGCGGGTCTCAGAACGGAAGACACGTCGGTCGCTGCTGCCGCGCCGGACTCTGGAGGCGTTTCCATGGCTGTGAAGCTCCGACGCTTGCACGACCCTCCACGACGCAGTAGCTCTGAGCGGCGCCACATGGGTCTGCCAATAGTAATACGCCCGTCTCTCATCGTCGATGCAGCCCCTTACTGCCACCTACACCCCCTTTCTCATTGTCAATACAGGCACTATAAACTATTCGCTATCGCCAGTTTGCAGTCCTCTCCTGCCGCCAATCTCCTCCCCTTTCCCCCTTCTCGTCGGCCGTCACGGGGTCACCGACTGCAGAGCACATCTGGCGTCTCCAAATTGGCCGATCGGCCGGCCGCCGACCGGCTGGGAACAATCGCCGCGGACCGGATAGAGCCGTTCGCCGGCGGCGCGGAGCGGGCGCGCGGCCGCAGCCGATTATTTTGGCATGCGGCGCGTTTGTTGTTGGAGGAGGCGCTATAAATAGTGCTCGTCTCGGCGGGAGGAATGTCTGGCAGTGTGTGTCGCCCGAGTGGCGCCGGTCGGGCACACCTGGCGGTGCGCAGTGGCTCTTCATGGTCACCGATCGCCTGCCACGGTTCCTCCGATCTCACCTGCTTTATTGATCCTTCCTAAGTCGCGATCCCACTGACCCCACCTGCCTCGCTGAATCGCTGTCCGAAAAAAAAAATCATCGGGTACTGCATTGCCGTACTGCATCTACGCTACAAACTAGTCGGGTATACGATATAGACATTTTATGTGAGCTTGCTCCATACAATCGTGCAGTTTTCTCGCCAGGAACCTGGCCCTCCTTTACCAGTCAGCCTCCTGTGACCTGCCAATTTGAGAGCCGTTTGAACTGTTGCGCCGGTTTCAGGCCCGTTGGTCGTGTGTTCTCGGTCTCGGCTTCAGCTGCAGTTCAGTCCGATGACAAACGGCCGAGAAGGCAGCGCTCGTTAGGCTGTCGACGGATCACATAATGGGCGCGGCCGGCACGGCGATGGGGTCCGATAACGCCAGTCGGCACCTATTGGGCGGAGCCGACCGAGCCGCCTGCCAAACCCCATGGCAGTCGACCCTGTCACATCCGGGCGCGTGGCCAAGGTCGCCGCGATCCGAAATACGGGGACATCGCATAGCACGTATTGAGAATTGCAGTGGCATAGGTTATGGTAGGCTTCGGGTATGAACTCTTTGGCTAAGTTGACGTTAATGGGTTCGATGTAACTCCATTGGATATGCCACATCTCGAGTATCGGTTATATTTGCGTGGATGTGATTGAAGTAACTCCCTGCCATATACCATGGTCGTTGCGTGTGAACAGTGCAATGAAATTATATGTCTCGATATCACACCCTGACCCGTGACTGTGCTGGTGCCAATCTGGGCTATGGTTGGAGCTGACCTTCTTACATTATTGACGGCTGTTTCGGTTGGCGTGTATTCAAGTGAATTTCTATAGGTATCATTAGTTTTGCTGTAGCAGTCAACCATATAGCCAATCGGTATTCGATATCAAGCATCTGTTCTAACGCCTATCGTCACTCGGGAGCAGGTTGGAGCTCCTCCCGCACAGGACAGGAGCACTCCGCTTGATCTGCAGCCAGCGGAGGAGAAGGACCCGCCCGCCTATCGTATCCTCCACGCCCGTCGGAGCTCCGTCTCTCGTCTCCGCGACAGCTGACCGGAGATCAGCTGACTGACCTGGCCGCCGCGCCGGCTGCCCAATCGATTCGCCTCGCCTCGGCCGGCCCGGTCACCGCAGCGAACCATGGGCAGAGTGTGGTCAAAGCTGGGACAGCGGTCAGGGCGGCCGAACGCCGTCCGAAGTCAGGACACTGAGAAGGATAAGTGTAAAACACAGTCCATCGAACAGAGACAGGGTTTGGCAGCTTTGGACGACCTTCAGTCGGGCAGTGACTGAGCCGTTTGACCTCGGCGGACCTGGCTGGGACCGTGAGATGGGCCGGGCCCCGGCGTCTCGGTGACCGCGGGGGGCGTCAGCTGTCGCAGTGGCTCTCCAGGGCTGCCAGCACTCCCTGCGTCACAGCCCAGCTGCTCGGCCGGTCAGCCAACTGAGGACTGTACTGAGAGGTGGACACGGGACTGCCACTTGAGCAAGGGGGACAGCCGGGATGGCCGAGTGGCACATAAGTGGTTGAACAGTGAACACCCACTGGTCGGCAGGAAGAGCGGCTAGAACGAAGTGAAACGGCGTGTGGCGTATGATTCGGGATAATGCAGGTTATCAGCCAGGCTCCGTTTCTCGTCAGAAGCTCCAGTTGTTACGCCAGTTGTAGGTATTGGAGCCGTCACAGTGGGATATCCGTAATCCGCATGATTGTTCCGCACGGCGCGAGTCCGGTTGTTCTCTTGTTGCATGAGTGACTGAGCTGTAAGCGGACAGGCGGCTAAAACGCTCAGCCAGACTCATCAAAAATTACCATCGGTTAATGTAACTAAAGCCTGTGCTGACGCACTCCGCTACGTCCTGGATAGAATCCTGGAATTATGCCATCGAGTCGGGTTTCTGTTGCTGACCTATACAGTTTGATCAGCGGTATTTCCTGACCAGTTGGCCAACGCATAGCTAAGCGTCATATCGGGTAACCATTTTCACTTTTATCTGGATATACACCCCGGGAAGGCATCCGGCTGCGTCCGCGAGCTGACGTGGCTTCGATGCTCTAATCCTTTGGTGCTCGAGTGATAAACGTTTTCATACCAAGGATTTCTGAGCTGAGATCTGTGTGTGGTATGAGTTTCAGCTGAGTAGCTCGGCAAACTCAGTGAATTTCTTGCGGCAGATTCGGAGTCACCATCAGTTCCTCGCAACCGCTGCTATTGGTGCCTCTAAATAATGTGATTTTATCGTGATTTCTTCTTATTTACTTTGGTGAGATTCCAGTTATGCTACCAATCGTTTCTGTCATTCTGTCCCTGGCTGAAGAATGATGCTTCGGGAACTGCTCGGGGTCGCTCTCCTCGGGTTGTACCCTCTGGCGCTGGAGGCCTCCTCTATCAGAAACACCGTGCCAGCAGCGTGGAAGTCCTCGTCCCAAGTATACTACCGGACCAGGTCCTCGTCTCAGTTATACCGGACCGGTTCATAGGCCCCCGTCTAGGTGGCACCAACTGACGTTGGAGGTCTCTGCGCTCCGGCTTGTGTATCCCCCCGGAGCGTCGCTGGAGGGCTACTGTCAGTAGAATTGGGCTAGCCACGAAGATCTCTTCAGCTGATCCATTTCAGCGCTGGAGGGCTCGGTATTGTGCCGAACCACTGCTAGACCATAGCCCTCAGCTGCACAGGACCAGTGCTGAACTATTTATCCCTCAGCTGCCCAGTTCCTTGGCTGAAGATCTGACGCTCAGCGGCACTGGACCGATGTCCATATCCGTCAGTGGCATCTTCCATCGCTGGAGGTCTCCCTCTCAGCTGCTCAGAACCAGTGCTGGACCATATTATCTCTCAGCGACACTTCCATCGCTGGAGGTCTCCGTTTCAGCTGCCCTGGGCCAGTGCTGAACCATCCATCGCTGGGGGTCCCCGTCTCAGTGACCCCGGACCACTGCTGGACCATATCCCTCAGTGACACGCTGGAGGTCCCGTCTCGGCCGGACCGGAAGCGGGCGGCCAGGTGGGCGGGCTGGTGGCGGCGGCGACGACCGGCCCAGCTCGCCGCCGGCTATTTCGAGCGCCGGTGCACGCCTTGGCCCGGCGCCCGGCCGCCGGACCGTACCGATAGTGGTCGCCGGCAGGGCGCCGGCCGGCACCGATAGTGGCCGGCATGAGGGCACGAGGGCCATGGTGTGTCAAAAGTGGAAATAGCCGGTGCGCCGTCTGGCAACCCGGCAGCCCGCCGCCATAGGGAAATTCATGCTTTTTGTCGCTTTTTCGCTCCTTATGAGTCACTTGATCTAATTAGAGCTTAACTAGGAACGAGGCGGGTCACTTGGACGTATTCGGGAGCCGAATACGGTGTTTTGGAGCCAATGCATGGGAAACCCTACCCGCCCAATGCGAGTTTTTAAGAGTCTGCATGCCCAAATTAACGTTGAGCGCGGCCGTTTTCGGTCGGTTTTCCGCGACCTTGTGGCGAAATCGCCTTATTTATTCAACCAGGGTGGGCTAATTCGCTTAACTAGGAATGAGGCGTTGAAGAGAATTATTCAAGGAATAGAGCTGCGCAAAAATATTTTTTGTATTGTTAAAACTGTATCCGCCCTCGAACGATAATTATTGTTGACCCATCAGAAACACATCGCCTGGAATGCGTGTGGACTTGGCTGGATCTTATATTAGCGAGTATCTGCTAATGCAGTTTCTTGGCTTACACAGTACGCACACAAGCATACATACTTCCTGCCCTTAGTTATTCCTCACTTGAATGAAAATTTTGCTATAATAACTATTCCAAGCAGTTAACAGGTTTTAGTGCAGTGCCAAGTCGGAATCGTTCAGCGCCGCCAGTCTCCCAGGCGGCGCGTAGCGGCCGCCGCCGGCCGCCGCGCCGCCGCTCTGGCAGGGTGTTTGACTTCATATCTCTGTTGCTAGAAAAGTTGTGGACCGATTTACTTGATTCTTGCATGAAAAGATTCGCCATTCAATTCTTAGCAGATAACGAAAATTTGACGTCAATTGCACGATCCGCTGCCCATATTGTGGTACTGCCATCTATTGACAAGGCTGGCGAACTAAGGCCGGGCGGCTATTTCCACTTTTGACACACCATGGCCACGGCACTGCTGCCATGCTGCTTGGGGACAAATTTTACGGAGTCATTGAGGAGACGAGACACGGGTAGTGACAAAGGTAGTGGCAGCAGAAAGCGCTAAGGACCTTGTCCTGAGGTAGTTGGGGAGACGTGATCACTAGGTACCGATAGTTGACGGCTGCGGGGAAGCCGCTGTTCGTTCAGTTAGCCGAAATGACCCGCGGGTCGTCGGAACGACCGCTGACGCACCCTCGGCTAATGAAGCTGATGACTAATGTCACCTGTCGCGTCATGCTAGAACTTTGATCAAACACGGGTCCTAGTAACCGCAGAGATTTCAGGACTGTAGGCATCGATGGTTGAACACATTTGTTGCTACCTACTTAGTCATTGTTTTGTTTGAGATAGTTGCTGAACATCTTGGCTTTTGCATCCGAGAAAGGAATTTCGCTTATGCAACACCACTCACATTTTCTCGAAATGAATGCGATGCCACTTTTCATTCTGACGCCGGAAGCTTAAATTATGCTTGCGCCAGATTAAACTGGCCAGCGTTCAAAAATGTTATTGCCCACTTAAGTTGTTAAAAGGACCTGTCATGGTAAAATGACGCGGTGACTTTAATAACATCACGTGCTACTGCTATCCGCACATTCTCAAATTGTCAAACCGTGTTCACGATAGTGCACCAGACTGTTCCTGGGTCCGTACAATGAACAGCAGGTCCATAAATGCACCGAATACGGATGCACTGTGCGACATGCTACCGTGTTCGGTCGCCAGAGCTGGGTGGTCGCGGGTCATCAACATGCACCCAGGTGCTGATCAGTGACCAGTACCACTGATCCTGCTCCGAGAAATATCGGGGCTACCGGCGTATAAAGTGATGACTTCATACTTGTGGTACCTATGCCAGAAATGAAACTTGACCTTAGCAGTGTACGAAGAAAATCTTAGCAACTGCGACACGACGTAATCGAACCAGTAATTGTGATGTGCTCAATCGGTGCAAGCCAAGCATTGCGGCTTCTCCCATTGGTTTTTACCTGGCCCGGTGAGACATATGACCTCTCTACCGCCAGGTGGCCATCAAAACGATCAAGAAGGCGAAGATCGAGACCGAACAGGACCTGGTGCGGATCCGTCGAGAGATCCAGATCATGTCCTCAGTCACGCACCCGCACATCATCCACATATTCGAGGGTGAGTCCCGAGCGGCAGGAGAGATTGGCGGGCGGCACGAATTGGGCCAGTTAGACGGTACCTGAGTGATGGGCGGTCAGTATTCGAAATGACAGCCGTGTTAGGCCATGCGGAATGCGGAAATGGCCATGCGGAAACGCTGGTTTGCTTTCTTTAGGACGCTTATATTTTGCACGCGAATAAATTTTATGTTCGTGTGTCAATTGTGCCTGATGGTCCAGAAATATAGATACTTTGGTAATTAAATTATACTTTTAAACGCACATACCTATGTTGCGTAACATATCATACAGGTAGGTCGTGCCATGCATGTGTAATGTTGTGTATTTGTATGTCACCGTATATGGCCAGCGGTCACCGATTGTCCCGTATGTTCCGCCATCCGTCAGTGTTTGAGAACCGCGAGAAGATGGTTCTGGTGATGGAGTACGCCGCCGGCGGTGAATTGTACGACTACCTCAGCGAGCGCAAGGTGCTCAGTGAAAACGAGGCGCGCCGCGTCTTCAGACAGGTGGCCACCGCCTGCTTCTACTGCCATAAGGTAACACAGAGCGCAGATTGGTGGTGTTGTATTATCCGATACTCTACCGGTACCGTGCAACAGTTGAGAAGGGCGCCGAGCCTTGGGTCGAGCCTAGATAACAAGTGTCCGTCGGATGCTTGTTATTGAACTCACTAGACGGTCCATTAAGCGTGTTTGCATATTTGACCACCTTTTTGCATATTTGACATCCCTTTTGTCGCCAAGCTGGGTGAGCCAGAATTCAGAATGAGCAACGCTATGGTTTATAATCTCAGGCTGCATCATACCACTTGTACCGCACTTTGTTTGCCATTCAGACAGAATAAATAGGTGATTAACAAAATATACTCATTCTCATGTTGATAAATCGGGTCATAAAGGCGCCAGGCCTGTCTGAATGCCCGTCTGGTGCCCTCTGACCTTGGTTACGACTCCTTACTTGACTGTGTGCAATAAATCTGTGGTCTTCGTCCCATTTGGACACAGCGTAATAACCGCTCCCGTTCTTCCTCAGCACAAAATCTGTCACCGGGACCTGAAACTGGAAAACATCCTGCTCGACGAGTACGGCAACGCCAAGGTGAGCTTCCCAGCAAGACTCGCCTGTTTTAAAATGACTGCCTAATCAGTAATCTCTATGAGCATAATGGAAGGGACAAAGAAGTTCCTCATTTGTTACGCTCGCTCATTTCCATGAAATACTTTGTTGAGGCCTGAGGGTTTTAAAATCGTTGCGGTCTGGCACGGACTTTGTTCTTAAAATTCAACCTCTCGATTTACACCTCTAACACACCATTCCCACCCCGCTCACGCACACCGCCCTATCTCCGGCAGATCGCCGACTTCGGCCTGAGTAACGTGTTCGACGAGCGGCGCCAGCTGGCCACCTTCTGCGGCTCGCCGCTGTACGCCTCTCCAGAGATCGTGCGCGGCACGCCCTACGTGGGCCCAGAGGTGGACTGCTGGTCCCTCGGCGTCCTCCTCTACACGCTCGTCTACGGAGCCATGCCCTTTGACGGATCCAACTTCAAGAAACTGGTCAAACAGATCACCACTGGGGACTACTATGAGCCAAAGAAGCGGTCGCGTAAGTAGGATGGAGTGTGATACACATTTAGGCTGTGTTGAGGTGGAAGACACCCGCGCCCCGGGCAGAGGGGGGGGGGGGCGAAACGGCCCCCCTGTCCTTTTCGGTCGATATCTCCTAAACGGCTGGAGATATCGCCACCAAACTTTCAGGACCCCCTCCGAGCATCAATTTCCCACATTGTGACCAAAAATTTTTTCCAGAGGCTATGATAGGTTGGCCACAAATGACGTCAGAATGACGTCATGTTCTGTCATTTTCGACCGAAAAAGACCTTCGCGAGAAGACCTGTCAGGCCTACAGCTTTGAAGATGCAGAAAAATGATCAAGATATAAAAGGTGTAGAATTGACAGGGCTACAAAACTGCTATCTCGGATTTTTGAACTTTTTGAGTTTTGACCCCAAAAATCAAAAAAGCATTTTTTTATATATTAGCCAAAAACTCCATTAAGTTTTTTGAGTTTCGAAAAAAACGGAATATATGTGATAGTGCCTACCGTCTTCTATCTACATACCAAATTTCAGGTCGATACCTCGTTTTTGGCCAAGTTATAGCGAAAAAAACTGTTCAAAAATGATGACGTCAAATTTTTTAACTCAATTTTTGGCAATTCTAGGCCTCGTAGAGTAAAACAAAGACCATCATCAGACTCCCCGTGACGAGCTGCATCGAATCGATACCCATTTTATGCAAAAATATCAATTTTGAAATTTGACCTTTTTTGACCTGACCTTGACCTGACCTTCACCAAAACGTGACCTAGGCTGGCCCCAAAGGCTATCTAACCCACATAATCGCATTTGTCATGTAAAATGGACCATAAAACATGTATCACACGACACTTTCATATTGGGACCCCCGGTGACCTGACCTCGCTGTGACCTGACCTGGTATCAGTGACCTCAGATAGCAAAGAATGTGTTTGACGAACAATGTACCATCGATGGGTTTCAATAAATTACCAATTTACTCGATTTCACAACACATTTCTTGAAATGCCTGTGAACGGTGAAAATCTGACCTTTGACCTGATCTGTGACGTCATCGGTTTGACCTAGGTCAATGAAATTTGGTCACAAGGTAGTTCCCGGGTGGGGCTATCGAACGCCGTTTGAATTTTGAAAATCGGCCGGTAAATTTCCGAGATCTTAGGGGGGGGGGCGAAACGGCCCCCCCCCCCCCTACGGGCGGTAGGGTCCACCGATAGCCCTACGGGGCGCAGGTTAATAATGGACGCTATATTACGAACATCTGTTTTGCCGTCGTGTTCTTGATTGGCATACGTTTTCAAGATCGATAAACCGAATGACATTTGTGATTAACTGTACCGCTGCCTGTCTGTTCCGCTGCCCGCATTGCCTTCGCCCATGGGCCTTGTGTCTCAAACTCCATCCCCGCTCCGTCCCACTCTCTGACCTGACCTACCCCGCTCCCGGCCGACAGCGGCCTCTGAGCTGATCGGAGGCCTGCTGACCGTGAACGCCGAGCGTCGCACCACGATCGAGAACATCTGCAGCCACTGGTGGGTGAACAAGGGCAGTGAGTCGTGCTGTCTGCGCGTGGCCGAGGAGCTGGCCAGTCGGACGCCGGTGCGGCTGGACCTGCTGCTCTCGCTGGCGCCGCAGAGTCGTGACAAGGAGCACATGCTGACGCCTGGCGACGAGGAGGTGGGTTAGGAAGAGCGGAGTCGTCAGTGACATGATATGTTGTGATCAGGTGGTATCCGATATCGCGGGTACAAAACTGAGCTGTCTGCGGCTGTTTTCACAGTCTGATGCGTTTGAGAAATCGTTGTCGATTTTCAGACTGACTGGTCTTCACTATCGGTTGTATTTGTCGGACGTTTATATGACTTAACACCAAAAATTATCTGTTTCGTTCTGATTGCTAAAAGCTTCTGAGGCAGTGCGTCAATGCCAGTTCGCTGACCGCGTGTTTGTATTCTCCAGATGGCTGAGCCGCCTCCGACGCGCACTCCCAGCCGGACGCCGTCCAAGGGCTCTCGGACGGACGCGGACGTGTTCGCGGCGTCCCGCTCTCGCTCCCTGGGCAGTCTGATGGAGGTGGAACCGGCCGGCGCGCAGGCCATGAGCCCGCCGCGGCCGCCACCGCCCGCCGAGCCGGCTGCCAAGCGCGCCATCGATGAGGACGGATACGCGGAGCCGGCGACCACCAAGAAAAAGGACGCCGACCGCGAGGAGCGGCGGGCAAGGAAGAAGGACGGGGAGAGGACGCTCAAGAGGAAGAAGAAGCGGGCGGAGTCGGCGGCGCGGGAGACGCCTGCCCCTGAGGAGCCGGCGCCCGCTCCCCCGGCAACTGCCGAGCGGGAGAGCCGAGTGCCGGCGGTCGATGATAGAGTGATGGAGTCGGCGGCGGTGACCAAGCCGGCGGCGCGAGGACTGACCCCAGAATCGGCCCGCGGCGGTGCAGCAGCGCCAGGTGCCTCCCCGACCAGGAGTCGATCACCAGCCGCGGACAGGCGCAAGTCGCCCTCCACGGGGAAAGCTGCTACTAAGGGTCGGTCCCCGGCGCTGTCTCCTGAGCCACCGGCGGCAGCGGCATCCCCGGCAGCGCCACGGTCCCTTGCGGCCACACCGGCTGCGCCACGGTCCCCCGCTGCTACTCCAGCCGCGCCCCGATCACCAGTGGCCACACCAGCGCCTCGCTCACCAGCGGTCACTCCGGCAGCACCCCGGTCACCGGCGGTCACTCCGGTAGCACCCCGGTCACCAGCGCTGACCCCCAAAGCGGCCCGGTCACCCGAGCCGTCACCCAAACCTCAGCTCGCACCTCCTGTCTCCGAACCTCATCACCCCGCATCACCATCGCTATCACCATCTCATCCCACGGCGGCGGCGGCCCCCAAGGTACCAGCGGCGGCGGCTTCCCTCAGTCCGGCCTCTGCTCGGTCCCCGGAGCCGGAGCCCCGGCAGCCCCGGAGTCCAAAACTCGCAAGGCCTCCGGACCGGCCGGCGGTAGCGGTGTCAAGGTCACCGGAGCCCACTCCGCCGCCTGTCCGGCCCCCGGAGGAGCCGAAATCAGCGCCTGCTCGGTCAACGGTGCCGCCGCCGGCCACCGTACCGGCACCTTCGCCGGCGCCCGCGTCAGCTCCATCCCCAGCTCCTGCGCCGCAAGTCGCTGCGTCGCCAGCTGTAGCGACGGCCAAGCCCGCCACCACCAGTAAGGAGTCAGCTCCGAGCTTGGCAACGGAGCCAGTATCAGCAGCGGTAACAACGGCAACGTCAACAACACCAGCACCAGCAACGACAACGTCAACGGCGGCAACGACAGCAGCAGCGACCACGACGACACCGGCTGCGACCGCGACTGCCGGAGCGAAACCAGCCCCGACGCCTGTGTCGCCGCCTCCCGAAGTGCTCGTACAAAAAGCATCCGGCGAGTCGGTAGTGGCGGTCGCTGAGAAGGAAGAGGCAGCAGCGGCGCCGGCTGATGACGCGTCCTCGACCGATGTCCAGATGCTGGACGCGCCTCAGGAGGAGCTGGAGGCTCACCGCGAGTCCGGAGACAGCGGCAGCAGCAAAGCATCTCAGAATGGCGACGGCGTCGGACGGCGCAACTCCAAGATCTACAAGGCAGCCGCCATGTGGGACAGTATGATCGCGCCGCCGGAGCCGACCAAGACGCTCGAGCGGCCCAAGAAGGTCATCAGGGACTCGCTGAAGCTGGAGCCCAAGCCCAAGCCGGAGCCCAAGCCGGAGGAGAAAAAGAAGCCGGTGCTGGGCCTCTTCAGCGGCATCAAGGTGATGGATGCCAAGAAGGCTTTTGAGTCGAAGCCAAAGGAAGTGCTGAAGCCTGTGCCTCTGAGGAAGAAGGGTACACAGGCGAAAAGTGTGATATTGCAAGATGCGGGTGGTCCGATTCCTCTGAAGGATATGACGGGACGTGTGTATTCGTCAAAAAGTTCGGGTCCGGTGCTGAAAGAGCCTGTAGGTAAGACGAAGAAAACAAAAACGAAAGAGAATGGTGTTTCATCTGGGAAAACTGAGTCAAAGGAAAGTAGTGAAAAGTCCCAAGAGAACGAAAAGGAATCTGAAACGAAGGATAAATCGTTAGAAAAGAAGGATAACTCTCCGGAGAAAAAGGCGAAGTCTCCAGTGAAAAACAAGGAAAAGGCGGATGAAGAGACTGCGAGTCCTGACAAACCTGCCGAAAGTGTGCCGTCAGCATCTGACGCAAAGACCGCTTCTCCTGCGACTCCAGTGAAGAAGGTGGTCAAAAAGAAGAAGAAGGAGCGTCCAGCCTCAGTGCCGTGTACGAGCAGCAGTGAGCTGACGGCGTGCCCGGCGCCCCAGCCGTGTCCAGAGCCCCACAGCGCCTCCACGGCCACCGCTCAGGTAGCCGCTCAGATCGACGAGATGGTCACCGCCATCCGAGAGGTCGGCGAGGCCATCTCACAGGAGGAGAACGAAATCAAGAAGAACGAGCAGGACATCGCCAAGAAGGTGACCGATTCTGCGGCTGACCAGAGGCAGGGAGAGTCACAAAGGCCGAGGGTTTCGTCCGAAAGTGAGAAGCGATTACCGGAACCATCGGCGGCTTTGGCTAAACAGGCACAGCCGACCGTAGCTAGGAATAATACGATTCTGACTAGCTCACCGGAAACCAGACATCTTAGCACTGCAACGCAAGAAACTCCGGTAGAGCAAAAGGCACCCGAACGTAGAACATCGGAGGTTAGTAGTGTAAAGCAACAGCCAGCCAAGGCCGAGGTCACTGAAACGTCTAGGCAGTCAGCAGCCGACGCGCGACAGGAGACCACTACTAAACAGCGTCCGTTGAGCCCGGAGCAGGTACCTGGACCGCAGCCCTCGCCGAAACCCAAGCCAGACAAGCCTCGACTCGTTATTCCTGAGCGGGGAGCTGCGGCTGGGTCGGAGCCGTCCCCTGCCGCCGGCCCGCAGACGGCGCCGGCGGGACCCGCGCGGCCGGCCCCTCTGACTCCGCGCCAGAGCGAGTCGCAGGACACACTCAGCAAGATCTTCCGGCACGCCGAGACCAAAGACTCTCTGGGTACCGAGAACCGGTTCATCCGCGACGTGGCGGCGCGGCGGCGCTCGGACGCCGACCAGCGCACCAAGTACGCCACGCTGCCGGCCAAAAAGAAGTCGGAGCTGCGCGTGGTGCTAGGCCAGGAGCCGCGGCCGGCCGAGGGCGCCGCCCCGGCCACCGCCCCGCCCGGCCGGCGGCCGTCCGACGTGCGCTCCGAGCTGGAGGCGCCCGTCAACTCCCCGTCCAGCACACAGCGCACCGAGGTGACGTTCCCCGTGGCGGCTCCGGATCGGGCGCACAGCCTGCCGCCGCAGCAGCGCGCCGCCAGCCGCGAACACATCATCCGCATCTGCATGGACGGCGGCGAGCAGCCGGCACCGGCGGCGGCGGGTCGCGCGCCCGCCGAGTCGCCGGCGCCGCGGCCGGCGCCCGTGCGGCACGCCCCCTCCGCGCAGTCGCTGCCGGAGCGGGCGCGGCCGCCCAGTGACGAGGAGATGCGGCAGGCGGTGCTGCGCTCTCTGCCGCGCGCCCGCTCCCAGCTCTCCTCGCCGGCGACGGTGGGCGTCTCCTCGCCGCCGCCCTCAGGAGTCACCTCTCCACCGCCGCCACCCTCCGAGCCGATCCGCAAGTCGCGCCGCGAGTTCATCATTCCGATCGCGCTGGAGGGCGGCGGCACGGTGACGCCGCCGGTGCGCGCGGCCTCGGAGGAGGCGGAGCGCGCCCAGGGCGGTGGTCTGTTCCGCTCGCAGCGGCTCTCCGGCTCCGGACAGCGGCGCATGGGGTGAGTCGAGCCGACAGACGCCTGGAATGCTTACTTGGCGTCTTAGCAGCCGCAAACGATGACTTTCCTGAACTTAGTTGAAACGTGACGATGAACTAGCTCATTTTTAGTATATACTCGTGTCCTTTTTCGGTCTCTATTTTGTTGTTCTGCTTATGCTGTTTTTATTGTTACTGTATTTGTACGTGTCATAATGTCTGCCTGTGCATCTGACAGGCATTCCGTCTCGCCCGCAGCCTGGCGCCGCGTCCTCGCTCCGGTCTGGAGCGCTCGGAGAGTTTCAGCTCGGCTGGCGAGGATGAGGAGGAGGACGAGGATCAGTTCGAGATCCTCACCGCCGAGTCGCTCTTCACCACTCTGCTGGACCGCGTGCGGAACCTGACCCGGCGCGTCAGCACAGAGGACTCCCCGCTCAAGGTGGGACGGCGCGAACAACTGGCCTTGGCGGGATTCGATTCATATGCCGAAAACAGTGGCGACTACTGTTTTACGCCAATTGCTATCGTCCAACGACGTCAGTGTAACATCTTGAAGCAAGTTCTTTTTCAGGCGTCTGAGCAGGGTACGATTTGTCCTTATCAGCATAGAAAGAGAAGACAAGGGTGCCATGGACGATAAAAACTCACCTGTTAACTTTTGGGCTTTTGGTCCCTGCTCTAGCTTACTAGTGTCAAGCCTCATCCTATACAGTAGTTGGTTACATTTTGCGTGTTGAGTCACATTTGACATTATAATCCTCCCACGCCACCTGCAGCGGACGATGATGCTGGCGAACCAGCCGCCCGGCTCGGCGCAGCAGTACCAGCAGCAGCAGCAGCAGCAGCAGCAGCAGCAGCAGCCGGGCGGTATGTGGGGGATGCCCAGTCCGATGCGGTCGCTGTTCGACCAGCCGCTGGGCTTCCCACACACCTCGCTCTTCGATCAGCCGCCCGCCTTCTCCAGGTTAGTGGAGAGCAGAGAGGGGAGGGAAGTGGGAGGCTGGGGTATAACTGAGGAATTCTGGGATATGACTGCCAAGTAGCGAGCTGTTTGTTACGGCTGTGCTTTATTCATTTGAAGTGATCGTGCGTTATCTTGTCGGTTGAACTTGAAATGTTTTGGACGGCTGTTACGTGTGTGATCTGAAGTAACGACAACTTGAACGCCTCTAAACACATGTCTGTTTTCTCTCATGCGGCTAGTTTTCGTTCCTACCAGTGCGTCCAGTAAGTACATATGTCGTCACGCCAGGATAGGACATTTTCGGAACCTAATCCATCATAACTTAAATTTCGTACTTATGTGGGCAGTTCTTAGTCGAAAGAAGGGATTACATTTCAAATGCGGGAATAAAAACGAAATGATCAACTTATAATAACGGAATGTGGTAGTGGAAGTATTGTTACATGTGAAAGTATCCATTACTCCGACAAGGCCCGACTTTATCCACCTCTCTGTGCGATGAACCGTGCATTTGTCCGCCTCGTTTTACCTGAACTCCGCTGACCTGCCTTTGTGGCGTTCCCAGGCAGTCATCTAGCGGCTCACAGGGAGACGGTTCGGCCCAGTCGGGTCAGCAGTCCGGCCAGCCGTCCTGGCGGCGCACCAAGTCCCGCGAGGACGCCTTCTCCACCCTCCCCAAAAGTCAGTGGTCGCACCGACGGTGCTGCCACCTTCCGGCGGCGGCCGACACTAGCAATGGCATGCCGTGCCCGTGTGTCTTGGACTCTTGCGTCATGTAGAATTGTGCGCATCCCACACTGTATACGCTCACACAAACACATGCTGTGAGTGTTCGATGTCTGGCAGTAGATGACATTTACAGCGTGCGCTGCACAGTGCATATGTCTGAGTTTGAGGGGTCAACTCGATGAACTTGACATTATCGGGTGTAAAGACAAAAAGGAGTTATCTGATTGCATGGTTGAAAGATATGCCGTAAGCACCGTTCCGTGCTTCTATCCTCAGGATACAGAAATCCTTCTCCTCCACGCCGCAACCCGCTTCCGGGCTGGACAGGCAACTTTATCCCATGCGGGCCGCTCCCTTGGAGCGGTACCGCTGCTCCTGAGGGAGCGCACCCCGTAGCCGGGTGCATTGAGTGCCTTGGGGCTGGGTGGCCTGTCCTCTGGACGGGCTCAGCCCCGGCGACTCACTAGGGTGCCTGCCCAGACCAATGTCTCCCCCTATATCCTATCATCCTCCCGGCTCTGAAATGGTCTAATTGGACCGAAAGTGCCTAACCCAACAAAACAAATATGCTGTAAGCTGTAGTAGATTCTGTAGTAATATGCCGTGCTTTAAGTTATGCATTGGTACGAAGCAAGACATGCTCGATTATGTTAGACATCTATCAGCATGACACCGCTGGATATTTCGCTAAGCTCGCACACAATATTACCTGACTTTTGCAAGTTGCATGAGAAGGCCGCCACGATACGCACGATTCAGCCTACACAGTGTGCAGCTACTGTTAGTGTTGTACCTCTATTTAATCCACAAGCACAAGTGCACCGAACACCATTCTCCCTCCGCATGTAAGCTGCTCTCCGGTCAGGCTCTGTGACGTGTCACCGACCAGTGACACCAGTTGCGCGTGCTGTTGCAGTGCGCCGGCGGCGGGTGCGCGTCTGGTGTCCCCAGGACAGTCAGTAGCGTTTGTACGTGTCAACTAACCCGCCCGGCTTGACGCGTGTTCCGGCCGCCGGTCTGAGCCCACGTGTGGTTTCCGGCCAGCTTGAGAAACGTTTAAAGTGTGGATTTTCGTTCTGGGCCCTTCGTATAGCCCACCTCCCAATTATATCGCAAATCCACATGGTCCTGTCGCCTGCAGGCTGGTCGGAAGCCAGACTGGGCTCGGCTGACCGTTGGCCGGGGCGCCTATGGTAGTGTGCCGAGTGCCGTGTACTAACCGCCTGTCTGTCCGCCCCTCCCTGCTGCCATTGCCGACTCCCAGGACGCGGCGACCTCTTCTGGAGCGCCTCGTTCGGCGGCCAGTGGTGAGGGAATGGCCGCGGGCCTGGCTTCTGCGGAAAGCTGACAGGTATTTTGGCTGGTACTTGTTTTTGTTTCAGTAATTATAAAACGATTTTATCTGTGAAATTCACCATAAACTAGGCATTTTGCAAGCATAATTACGTGTTCTACTAGAGACGATCACTACTCTTAACTTTTCGCGGTTTTATTTTATGGTTATTTATTTATTTATTTTTAAACATCCTAGTTTTTCCTACATGTTCCCGTGAATCCAGTGAAATGAAAACTGGGTGGCAGCTTTCGATATACGATTATCGACATCGTTTCTTTCCTGAGATGGGAGCAGTCGCACGCTCGGAACTCGTGAGGCCATCTAACGTAATAATGATTGCCTATTCACAAAATTAGTTGGTACCTTAACCTAGTGTGACCTTAACTTATAAACTTAATAATTTCCGCTGGAAAAGCGAAATTGAGTTCGTTCTTGTAAATGTTTTATCACAGCTTTTCTTTTTCTTGAAAGGTGACTTGAGTCAATTTTCATCTGAAGGGTCCTGCTGACTCTCGTGCACCAGAGGCACACTGACGGATGCTCCTAGTATCACGGCTACCATTGGCCGCCACCCCTGATCTCTGACCCGCGGTATGGGGTGCGTCGGCAGATTTCCGGCGGCGCGGCCAGTGTTTCGAGACGGACGACGATCCGGCCAGCTACACGCGCAGCCTGCCGCGGCGCTACACGGCGCGGGCGCCCTCCAAGGACCTGCCCATCATCGACGACGACGAGCCGGCGGATCAGCCGCGGCCCGGCCCGCAGCCGTTCGTCCGCCCGCAGCAGCAGCAGCCACAGCAGCAGCCGCAGGCGCCGTCCCCGTCCCCCATGTCACCGGAGCCGCAGCTGGCCAGGCCGCGCAAGTTCCTGGCCTACAAGAAGTCGTCGACGGCGGACTCGCCGCTGGGCGGACCGGATCCCGGCTCCAGCGCCGAGCGGGCCGGGTCGGCGCGCGACTTCATCAGTCGGTTCCTGCGCCAGGACCCGGCGCTGAGTCGGGCGGCACCGGCACCGGCGCCCGCCGCGCCGCCGGAGCCGGCTCCTGCCCAGGCGCCGGCCTATCGGGTCTACACCCGCACCTCGAGCCGGGAGTATCCTCCGGCCGAACAGACGGCGGCCGCGGCGGGGGCGGGGGCGGCCGCGGAGCCGCCCAAGGTGGCGTGGCGGCCGCGCAGTCTGCACAGCTCGTTCCGGCCGCCGGGGGAAGCTAACGGGCGGGATGGCGGGCGATCAGCAGCAGGCCAGCAGCAGGAGCCGGCGGCCGGGCCAGCGCGCCGCCGCTCCCTGATCGACGCTCCCTCCGGTGGTAGTGACGACGAGCAGGAGACGCCGCAGCGGCCGGCCGCACGACCGCGCACCACGGCCGACGACGTGCGCCGCTCGCTGGGCCGCGCGCTCAGTCTCCGGCTGGGGGACGGCCGCCGTGAGACCGTCGCTGCGCCACGGGCACGCAGCCAGAGCCGTGGCGGGAGCCGGTCACCGGAGCGGTCGGTGGGCGCTGGCGCCACCCTGGAACCTCCAAACGGCGAGGACAGCGACCGCACGCCGGTGCCCAGCCCGGAGACTCGCCGGCTGGCCGACCGGTCCTGGCGCACGGCCAGGGGCGACGCGGCTCGACCCGCCAGCGCCGGATACTACGCCGACTCGGGTGAGGACCGGTACTCGCGGCCCCGCGAGCCGTTCAGTCCGCGGTCCGAGTACCGGTCTCAGTACCTCTCCGGCCCACCGGAGGACTACCGCTCCAGCTCGCGGCCCCGCAGTCCACTGGAGGATTACCGCTCCAGTCCGCGGCCCCGCAGTCCGCGGGAGGACCTGAGACTCAGTGTGGACCCGTACGGCCGTGACCGGAGCGGAGAGTACCGCCCGGCCGCCAGCCCGGGGACACTCAGTCCCACGGAGAGTCTGTACACACCGGACACGTACCGCTTCAGTACGCCATTCACACGCAGCTCCGAGCGCAGCGTGCAGAACGTGCTCAAAGACATCAGGCAGAAGCGGGAGAGCCTGGTGTCGCCGCCGCCGGTGCCTGAAGCAGAGCCTGAGGTGGAGGCGGAGCTGGGCGGTATAGTCGGCTCGCCGACCCCGAACCCTGCGGTAGCCGAGGAGTCGGAAGAGACGTGGCAGGATGCACAGGGCACGGCTGCGGCTGCCGACCCGCGACCGGCTCCTGATGTTCCTAAGAAGGCAGACAAGCCGTTAGAGAGGAGCGTCTTTGACGAGCTATCGCGGAAGACGGCAAAACTGCTCAGCCGCGGTAAGGACGATGAGGCGAAGACCGGGGGCGGCGAGAAGCGGCCGGATGCGGATGAAACCAAAGAGAAGAAGTCTTCTCTCACTCAGAAGCTAAGTCGGATACCAAGCCTTATCCGGCGAGTCGGAAGTCGCTCAGAGGTGAAGGCGGAGGATGAGAACAGCGCAGACAAGCGGCGGGACGGTGCTACGCAGCCCAGTAGCGGGATCGAAAACCAGCCGCCGACTCCCATCAACCCGGACCTGCTACGTGACGCGTTCGAGCGGTACCCGGACTCTGAGAAGGCGCCGCCGGCCAGCGCGCCCGTGGCCCGGCCTGGCTCTCCGCGGCAGTCGCTCGGTGAGCAGGAGGATCGTCACGGCGGGGTGCGCTCGGCCGCCAACCGACTGCAGCAGGCCGAGCCTGAGCCGCGGTCGGACCGACACCGGTCCGCCGCCGCCGCGCCGGCCGTGGTGGTCAACGACGAGCCTCCTGTGCAGAACGGTCCCGTGTCGAACGGAGCCGCCGAGCAGACGCCGAACGGTCGCCCGGAGAACGGCGGCGATCCGGAGCGTCGGTGGCGGCGGCACGGCCGGCGACCCAGCGCCGACACCGACCCGGCCTCGGAGAACACCGACACCTCGGAGCTCAACACCGTCGACGACGAGGAGGACTCGGTCAGCGACAGAATCCTGCGGAAAAGCTACTTCTCCCGCTTCAACGACCGGCGACGGGACCGCTCGGCCAGCCGGGAGATGCTCAGTCTCATCTATGACGAGCCGTCGACGGAGCCGCGCCGCGCCGGCCGCTCGAGCTCGCTGCGCTCAGGTGAGCCGCGGATGCGTTCGCACAGCCGTGACCCGTCCGAGGCGGCGGACGGCGGCGGCTGGATCAGCAGCACCCTGCCGCGCCGCCGAAAACTGGGTAGCGCCGGCTGCGTGCCGCCCGCCGACGAGCCCGACCCCAGCGACTCACGCGAGGCGCTCTCCTCGAGTAACGTCAGCCTGCGCTCGTCGCGCGAGTCTCTGCCGTCCGACTCGGCCGAGCCGCGGCCGTCCCGACTCTCCAGTATCGAGGAGGGCCGCCGTCGACCGGCCCTGGACTCCCCCGAGCCGCGCCGGACCGGCCGCGGCGCCGGCGACGCGCCCTACTTCCGCGCGTCGGCGGCGACGCCGTCGAGCAACGCCGAGTACTACCGTCGTCACACGGCCGCGCTGGGGCCGGCCATCGCCTCCTCGTCTCGGCTCAGCTCGATCGGCGACCAGCTGAAGCGCGACCTCGACTCGGTCACCAGCAACATCGAGAGTCTGAAGGAGGCGCGCAAATCGCGCTCGGCCGGCGCCGCCAGTCAGCCGCAGCTGCGCAGATATTCGAGGCAAGTGCCACCGCCGCCGGCCGCAGACCGGGGCGGCCTCTCCTGGCTGGACTTTCTGGTCGATCCGGGAGCCGCCCTCGGGTTACTTTTCTAATTACATTGTATCGCTTGCTTACATTGTACCCGTTTCGCAGAATGGATGTTTTAACGTTAAATAATTGAAGGTTGTTGAGAAGTATGTGATGCTTAACATTCTTTTAATTTCCATTCGATTTTTTTCCCGCGCCGGTGTCTGCCTGTTGTGTTTAGTCCGTGAAGTGCATGATTATGCAGCTGTTCGAATGTTTGTCGCTACATACCTGACATACCCAGTTGATATACGCAGTGGTATATTAGTAGTTGTCTCCCTTCATACGAGAAAAATGGTTGCTCTGAAGATGCTCATCATATCAGTTCCCGCTTATGATTTCCCTTTAGATTTCTTTATAAAACCCACACATTTTAGTTTTTTTACACATTCAGAACATTCATTGTCGGTCTGCACGTGTGAATGTGTCCTCTGTCCCGTTCGACTGAAGCTCGTGCCTGCAACACTCGTGTGTATGTCCTCTGTCCAGTTTTAGTGATGCTCGTGCCTGCAGTAGCGTCGGCCGGGTCTCGCCACTGAGCGGCCGCTCCGTCTTACCCGTGCGCTGTGTGTCTGCCTGGCTCCGCAGGGCCGACCTCCGCTGACCGGCGCTGTACTGTGTTGCCCAGATACGGCTCGGGCGGTGGCGGCGTCGGCGGCGGCGGCATCTCATCGTTCAGCTCCTCGTCGTGGCGCCGCCTGTGAGTCCAGCGCTCCTCAGCGCCTGTTAGTCTGGCGACTGAGTCCTGCGCTCCTCAGCGCCTGTTAGTTCGGCGACTGAGTCCGGCGCCCAGCGCCCGCTGTCTGTGAGTCCGGGCGACTGAGTCCGGTGCCGCCTGCGAGTCCGGGCGACAGTGTCCGGCAGGGCGCTCGGCGCCTGTGTTCGGTGCCGCCTTCGGGCGCCTGAGCTCGGCGCTCGCCGCCGCACGTTCATGTGATACCCTCGGCCAAAGTGGGAGTTGACGCTCAGAATCACACCGATATTGGTGTAGGGTCGCGCGGCCGCGCGGATCCCGCGGCGCGTGGATTCCTGAGCGCAGATCAGACCGTGCCATTTGTCGGCATGGTTTGGGCAGATGTCGGACTGAATCTGGGCACCGGGGCGGTGGGAGTGTCTCTGTGATGTGCGTGGTGCCGGGTCCCGACGGCGGACAGGGCGGCCGACAATCATAACGGCTGCGTCTCCGCCCAGCGCGCACCGACACATTTTTATACGTGTGTTGATATACCTGTGTGAAATATCGCTATTACCCGTTGTTTTGCAATAAAACTTGTTCTGGTTATGACCAAAGCGGTGTTATGGCGTGTGCTGCTGATGCGAGGTATGACTGATTATGTGAAATAAATTATTTAACATATCAACTGGCGTTTCCTGATTTGCCCTCGTAACAGCGTCTGCGGTCATTAGCAACTGAACGTCCTGAAACAAAACTTCGTAGCTCGTGCTTTGTTGATGTGGAAAGTTGATCCAAAGGAATAAGGAAACCGATAAATTTTACAAATACATCGATAATGAGATATGTTATGCAGAGAAGATATATGTATTATATCTGCAAAACCAGCTAATAGATTGTCTCATTCAATATCGCAAGACTAGTTAGCCATCCATACGCCCTCGCACACTCGTCGCAACCTGCACAGCACAACCAATGACAAAATAACGACTACAATATGTAAAAAATAGCAAACACAACTACCTCAACTGTCGATTCGCCTAACGAGGCCGCTGCCCCCAGCTCACAGCCAGTTCATGCTTTCAGCGAAGAATTCCCGCTTGGTGTCAATAAATAGCGAAAAACGCACATTCTTCGGATCGCTCTAGATAAGATGACGCTTTCAAACGAAAAAGACGTTCGTTACGCTAGCGAACACATCCTTATATTCCTGAGCAGTGCTAAAACAGATATATCCCGGCTCATCCCATACCGGTAAAATCCGGTCACAGCGGACAATCACTCGCTGTCTGTTGAAGAGTACTCCGCCACCAGGCTGATCCTCCCCGCCGGGGTCGCGGTCGAACAATCGTTTGACCGGTTGGCAGCGGTTATCACTGGGGAAATGACTGACCCGGGACCGTTCAAACGATCTGGGGACGCCGGGCGGTCACAGGCAGGTCCCGGCAGTGACAGGTTCGCAGCGGAGGTCGGAACGACGGGACTGGGGTCGGTAGAAGGGGTTGAAACAGGGGGGCTGGGGCCGGCGGAGGAGGTCGGGTCTACCGGACTGGGACTAGTGACAGATGAGATCGGACCGACGGGGCTGGGACTGGTTACGGAGGCGCTCGGGCTGGCGGTCGGTGAGGCGCCGGGGCCGGTGTCTGATGTGCTGGGGCCGGCGATCACGATGGGGAGTCGCTGCTCACCCTTCTCGCTATCCCCAGCAGCGGCGGCCGGTGACGAGCCTGTAGTGCCGCCGCTCCGACCCAGCGCCACCCCGATGGAGGCGGCCGTCCGTCCGCCGCCGGACACTGCGGCCCGGCCGGTGCCGAACCCGCCGCTGCGGGGCGCCACCGTGCCCAGGGCCGGCCGGGCGCCGATGGCCGCACGCTTCCTCTTCCGCCGCTCCTCCAGTCCTAGAAAACAGACACGGAAATAACAGGAGTAAAAACACGGTCCGGTGTACCTAAACATGGCCACCAGCCACCTATGGCACTGGGTTATCTCTTAAACTATATGACTGCTTCGATATTCTACCGCAAAAAGAGGTTACAAGTTGTGAGAATAAATATAAGAGGATTCACAACCCATCACTTCCGGGATGGTCGTACAAACGTTAGGGGCAAAAAGAGATATCAGGTCTTCGCTTCCTGATTTTCACCAGCCATCCTCCCTTCTGACGAAGACCATTGTCTCCAGATCGTATGATGTTTAAATAAACAGTCTTAGACTTGACATAGTGGCCTTGGACGCTTTCAGCTTCGACGGAAGCGTTTGCTACTCGATAGAGACACTGTTAGCTACGGATACGCAGAACAGTTTTTATGTTTGCATCAAATGAAACAAAGCTTGGTAACTGCTATACCATTTCGTGCACAACAAAGGTAAAGTACACATATCTGTTTACGTGGAATGCGAGCAGCATTAGGCATAAAACGGACATGGTGTTACATTGGCTTTGGAAATTATAGCAAAACTCGAACAATTCACAGGGATGGCATGCTAATTGCTAACTCGATGCGGCAGTGGGTGGAACGTGTCTTTCTGGGCAGTGGGCACGCTAAAATGTTGATCAGCAACTAACCTTAAGTCAATAGAGTAGTTTCCTGCGATAGCTTAAGCCAAAACTAAAACAAACAGAGCACCGACGGAGTCCTAACCCTAAAATCAAACCTTCGTTTCGGACAACGCACACCTCTTTAAGTATATTATCAACTCAGGATACCACATTGCAAGTGATACGCAGATGCAACCAGACCGATTAAATGATCAATCCAGTGTCCCAGTGTCCCAAAATAGAGTTTTGTCTTGGGTGTCAGAGGGGAAAATTACCCACCAAAAAGAGGGGAGATAGTGGAAAACTGCTGATTCAATTAGATCAAAAAGGAGTGAGAAATGACAAAAAGCATGCATTTTATTCTAGGGTGTAGAATGTTTGATGCTAACTGGGCATCCACACAACTGTCTTTCTATAGGTAAAAAATCTATGTTTTCCCACCCAAATAGACAAATTTTGGGACATTGGATCAATCAGGGGATGAACAGCTTCTCGATCGCGCGATAACAGCTGTTTCTCGTTTAACATTTCAGCTTACCACAGCTGCCATGCACATTGTACATGAATAAGGTCATCCGATCTCCCGCTGTTTACACATACTCCCACCTCCAAGTGGAAACTGTCCGGCCCCGGCCGGCCGCACCACGGGCGGTTTATACCGGGCGGGTGCGGCTGGGCAGCGTCCTGAGAGAGCGGTGCCTTCCAGTACCCCTGACGTCACCATCGGTCGGAGATATTTGGCCTGTCTGTGGCGCGTCAGAGGCGATCGGACCTCAGACGGCCGGCCATGGGTCAGACTGGGACACCCAGAGACCCGAGTGGCACGCGACGGCTCGCCGGGGCGGCGGACGGATCGCGTCAGTCCGGGGTCGGACACGGGGGACCCGACAGGGGGCAGCGGGGAGGGGACCGCAGAGACAGATACGGCCGTGGAGACGGACCGACACACAGCTGACACCGCTAACCAACTGATTCCCCGCGGAAAACCAGAATCACGCCTTCCTACCGGCTGTCTGTCAGTATCAAATGACGGGGTAAGCAAGCATGCGTCAAGTTTAACACTTCAGCTTTATCTTCCCAGCTATCCTATGACGGGACGAACCGGCCCGAGGGCCACCAATAATCAATCCAAAGAAATGTGATCCTTCGCGCTCCCTCCCCGGCAGGCTCGCGGCGGTTGTAACCGGAATCCGGATATCGCTCCCGTACCGTATCAACAGGGTGGGATCTTTTGAACGATGAGGTGTAAAGGGATCCAGTGTTCAAACTGAACAGCCATTTGTTAGAATTAGTGCTAATTTGAGGAGCATGTCAGAGCATAAGCATAAAATGAAAAATAGAAAAATAACTATCCAGCTATTGCGGTCAATATGAATGGGCATACCACCGTCTCTTACAATAGCCTCCAGCCATATGAGGATCTGCGAACTACCTGTCTTGCTTGCAGCTGCCTATTTTACTTGCGGTTGGTGAAAATACCGGCAGCGAGATACAAAAAAAAAAAAAAACTTTGTCCCACCAATTGCCGCAGTCAGATGCCCGCCTTATTCGCTGCGGGCTACGCAGACGAGGGCCGGTGTCCGCAGCGGGGGGGGGGGGGATCTGCGGCCCGTCAGCCGTCTGCGGCCGCCGCCTGACCGGCGCCATTCGACCGTCTGCGCCGCCGGACCGCGCCCGGCCCGGTCCGGTCCGATCTGAGGACCACACGGGGACCACCGCCGGCTCGATCCGGACCAAGGGCTGCCGCCGCCCGGTCCGAGCGGTTGCCGTGGCGCCAGTCCATGCAGCGCTCAGTTTATACCAGAGAGGAGCCGGGCGCCGCCAGGAGTCGGCCGGAGTGCCAGACGCGCCAGGGTCGCCGCCGGGGCGGGTCCGCCACGTGCCGCGCGCGCGCTGGCCGCCGGCCCTGGACGGCCGTCAGAGGCGGCCGGAGCGGTGGCGCCGCCGGCCCTGGACAGCCGTCAGAGGCGGCCGGAGCGGTGGCGCCGCCGGCACACACTGCCGACCGCCGGCCGGCCGCAGCGCGAGACAAATATTTATAGTCGGTAACACGCCCGGCTCAACGTTGATCCGACGTGACGACGAGCTGTGGAATCAATCCTCTTCTCGGAGGCCTGAACTGCGACCCTAGCGACTCGAACATTCCAGCATGGTGTTGATGGACTCCAGTATCCCATAGTGCGGTCGGCTCAGGGCACATCACCTCTAGTCGGGTACTTTCGGAGCAGCGGGTGCAGCCAAGAACCGTGACCAAACACATCCCACCTCACAGCCCACAGCACATAGCACCCCCAAACGACACACTCAATGGGCGGGGCGTCCGCGCGAGAAGCCCTCTCACCAAACATTCTCCCAGACCCACCAAAAAGTCCTGCCCGCTCCCTCGCACCCCGCCGGGAGTCCACGTACCGACGGGGTCCTGCAGTTTCATCAGGGCGGCCAGCCGGCGGTCCTCGTCCGTCTCAGGACTCAGCACCAGGTCCAGCGAGGCCCTCCGCAGCAGATCGGCGTCCCGGGCAGCTACCGCTGCTGCCGCTTTCTTACCCGCCTGCGAAACAAGCGTTTATTGGACATCAGCACAAGGCGGATGGCGCAAACAGACACCACAGCTGGTGACGCAAATTATACATATAATGGGAATAGCATTATAACACGGTTCTATCATAAGGGCAAACAAAAGGTACAAACAAAAGGAACACAAAACAAGAGGAGAGTACAGAAAAGCCAGTGACAAGAAATAGTGCGAGGTCGTAGAGTAGCATGTGGCGAGTGTGCTGTGTGCCAATGCTTGCCATACGTGAGCCAGCCAGCGCGTGTGCTGATCGCTGTAAGGATCTCTAAAACAACAGCGTAAACAAAAACAAACATCGAACAGAAGCAGTAACTAAGCAGCCGCAGTCAAAATAAGATGGGATGGTTCCTAGCCCACATGAGGCCGCTTAAAACGGTGGAAATGTCTCCACATGGATCCCATCGTCACGAGGTCGGCTGATACCGGTTAGCCCAGCCACCCCGTTCTACCCGTTCTAAATCGTCGCTCTCTTCACGTACTGTTCGTTATCACTTCATGGGCAGCGGAGGGAGGGGGAGGAGGAGACGTCATGGGGTAATTAAAGGACACACCACCCGTCACCGACGGAATTTTACGTCTGGCACAGATACTGGCTCCAACTGGATCTAACAGACGTCGCCTAACTGGCGGAACTTACAACCGGACTGCACTGATGGCGGCAGAAGTGTTTACAGAACGGCCGAGACTAGAGCGGCGCGCCGCGGCGGGCCCGCCAGGACCGATCTCGGACATCGAGCAGTGCCAGCCGCCCGTCGGCGCACGCAGAGTGTGTAAACGGTGGCGCACACCATGATGAAACACTGTATAGCGGCGCTCCACTGCCGCACAAAACCCACGACCTTCCTTCCTCTCCTCCACACACATAACCAGAGTGCTGCAATTCCAGTCCCTCACCCTGAACTTGTCGCGGAGCCGTTTGTTGGCCGCGAAGTCGTCCCACATGCGGTCCTGGATGCGCTCCACGTGCTCCAGCACCGGCGCGGCGTCTCGCAGTTTGCCGACGTCGTCCGAGCCGTGCTCCAGCTTGTACATGGCGTCGGTGGCGAGCTTCTGGATCTTGGCGCGCTCGTCGGGAACGACAGTGCCGTTCTCGCCGGGGTCGAAGCGCCGCTCCTGGCGCCGAGCGCCCGCGACCACCTCGTAGTCCAGGTTCTGTGCATGAAGGGCGAACAGGCCGGGAAGGAGGGTCACAGAAATGATATTTGTGAGAAAAGTAATCAGTATTACCGATTAACTCTAAGGAGCAAACGGCAAACGGCTAGCGTGTTCATTTGCATTGTAACAATAGAAAACTGTTACGATCTACAAGGCATCTCTCAGGTTATCTGACCAGCAGATACGCCATGTTTTACAAGATGACTTGAGCGTTGCCACTGTCCCCCAAATAAGACAATAAGAAACGCAGCAGCACTCGCGCCACAGCCTTTAGAACGCAGCGCTCAGCTTACCGCCGGGTCCGTCTTGATGATAAAGTAGTTGTCGCACAGGTGGCATTTCATACGAAACTGGTACACGGGCGTGGTATAGTACATGCCCACCTTGGACTTCTCCGCGTTGTACCTGAATTTTGAAAGGGACAAAACAGTCAGTTAGCAACTCAGATTACGATCATCAACGATATTAAAACGTGCGCCCAGCTAAGATAAGAATAAAACATTAGGTAGGTCGTTGACTTGTTATCAATGCCAGTGAGCTCTGAATCAACAGACGCGTCCAAACTTAGGATGGTTTTACAAGCTTGCTTCTGGAAATGACATTGAAGGTGCAATCAAGAAAGACCTTCCAATTTCGAACGCTAAAAATACGTAAGAAGGCAGTGCCGACTGACCTGACGCCCATGCCGATGTGGTTGCCGCAGCCGTCACACCAGATGTTGTAGGGCATCTCGAACCGGATGACCAGGATGCCCAGGTGGATCTTTTTGGCACGCTCGCGCAGCGCGTGCGTGCCCTGGAACTTGTTGAGCCCTCCCTTGGACGGGTCATAGTCAGGCGGGTAGTACTTGTTGACTCCTTTGCGTTCACCCTGAAAGGGAACACATGCACACACGTCAGATACGGTAGCAATACTGTACTGCAGAAGCTGGGAACTATCGAAACCCGACGCGGAACCGATTCCACCCAAGGAAGAGAGATGCTGATCCGATACAGTCCCCTTAGTTAGAAACAACGACTATGCATATTCTGCTCTACGTCTTTGCATATTCTGCTCTACGTCAATAACTCACCATCGCACACAATACTGATCATCAGCAAGACACTAATGCCCCAGACCACCCAGACTCACTCTACGATATCAAAATCACAATACAAAACTTGCGGCAATGCTAAATTTCATACAATCTTCCAGTGCAAATTTGTTAGGATCGTGGGTAGATTTCACGCGTTCGTTCCGAGCGCTCTTCAGTATATGGGTCATGTTTCTGGGTCGTGTGCCACTTCCCGTCGTCAGTGGACAAATGGGCACTCGGTGCGTACATTGTGGGCGCTGCTCGGCTAAAGCAGAACAGCGCAGGGTGCAGCATACATTAACCACATAGCCATACTCTTAGAGGCCGGGTGGGGGGGGGGGGGGTCGTCTACTTATCCCCCCATTACTAGAATCCTCGCACGTCCGTGGCTGGCGGGCGAGTACTCATGATAGTGAGCACCACTCGAGTGAACTCGTATCAAACGCCGTGGCTCTATCAGACAGCTGTTGAATCGACCCTCAACCCGCGCCGACAGCTCACCCCCATACACTCCGTTGGGGATACCGCAGCTACGAGATGGCTCAAATTGATTTCCTATAGAAAGAATGCCATAAACAACAAATGCAATGCATCATGAGCTGGTTGACAGACATTATCAGACAGCGATGATGTCAGATGTTAATAGTTAGATTCCTTTCTGACGCCAACTATCCCTGTTCATGCTCAAGACTAGTGGCGCTCGTCTTTAAGAAAAAAGCAAGGTAATTGTGATAATGATCCAGCCTCCTGCCGTCCTGGTTGTCTATGACATCATCTACAAAAGGAAGAGTGGATAAACACAAAATAAACATTTCTGTCGAGGAAGAGAACTCGAGACAACGTGAACTGGACACAAAACATGAATTCCAAGCATTGAGCAGCCATTCTACCAGACATATTTGGATGAACGATTTAAACATTTGTTTAACGTCTCAGCTTTTCAATCAACCGGCAACTTCTATCGAATTTATGCTTTTCCTTTCAGCGACCACGGAGTCCCCATGGTCCCCAAGGCATGCAGCTTGACAGTTGACACCTTACGGAAAATACCCAACGCCTTATGGAAAAGCACTAGAATGATCTGTCGCCAGATTGCGCATCTGATCACATCTCGGCTCACTGCCTCGGCACCAGGGTGGTGCAATAAATGTCGGGGGACGACGTTTGACCCAGCCCAGGACGGTGCCGACGTTTACATTACTGGCCCGGCGCGGCGCGATCTGGATCTCGTTTGCAAGACATAGTGCACCGCACGGGTTCGGTGCCGAGGAGCAGAGAAATATACATCTCTGACGCCGACGGGTGGCTCCGGACCAAGCTCCGGACAGCGGTCAAAGACCCTCGCGGCTGCGGAGGCGAGAGGTCCGCGGCCGCTGCTAAGGGAGGGGAGAAGGGCGGCGAAGGAAGTTACCCTTGGGCGTGATGGTAGTCATCCTCTGAATGACACTGACGACTGTCCCATGCCAGCGGAAACTATCCAGTGAATCAGGACCCGTGAGTCGTGACCGTGCCCGATCGAGTCCGCGTCTTGTGCCGTCACCTAAAAATTAACAACCGTACCTGCACAGTGCACAGATCAGATGCAACTCGGCAGAAATCCCTGGCAAAGTGTGCTAGACCAATACCAAGCTCGTTACCAAGCTACGTACCAATACCAAGCTGAAAGAGATGTGGAATTTGAGCTGCAAGCAGCGACTGATGGGCGAATAGGCCGCAAGCAGATCACCAAGCTATATGCTTTCACGCTGAACCATAGAACACGTATCTGGATAGTGTTTATTGTTTATTTCCTTACATGTGTATGCATTCATCACAACACTGAAACACACAGTCATTTCGCTGAAAACATGATGATTGCACTAAAAAAACATTCGCTAACTCCTCTGTACACATAAACCTACACATGCACAATAAAACATAGCTCAAATGCCCTGTACCCACACGGTTAAGATACTTCACACATGGAACGATATGACCTCGGCTCAAACGATACGTTGTTCAATAAATCTGGAGAAGAGCGCATTTAATACCGCTCAGTCCTTGCTGAGACACATGCCCCTCTCCTCCAGTTGAAAGCCGCGCTCTCGACCGCGCCACTGCCGCGGTCCCTGTGAGCTCCCGCTGCGTCGCCGTCCTTTGGAACCGTTCGACCCGTCGCTCGGCCTCCGCGGGTCGTCCGTAGTCGCTGACGCGGCGCCCTGCACCCTCTCTGGTCCATGGATCCGTCGTCCATAGTGGCGGTGACGAGATGGCCTCCTCCTTCGTCCACCCGCTGTGGCCGCTACTGGTGGTGAGAGTCTGTCGCCTTCTCTTCCCTCGCCCACCGGCCGCTGCCGCTGCTGGTGATGGTGCTGCTGGTGTTGCCGCTGTTGATGTTGGTGATGTGAACGCGACTCAGCCGCCGCTCATTCCGACTCACTGGACGCCACCGTCGGCAGCCGGTCAGGGATGGCGGCGGTCCGCAGCGGCGCCGGCACCCAGTCTCCTCCGGCACCGCTCTCGGCCAGCAGCGGGGACCTCTCCGAGGGACCCTGGCTGGGCGCCGACGCGCCGGCGTTGGCCAGCTGCCGCCACCGCACCAGACACTGGATGGCCACCGGCACGGCCATCAGCAGCGTGATGACGCTCAGCGCCGTCACCGTCATCGGGAAGCCGAACGCGTCATCGGAGAGGCCGGCCGCCAGCGGGCCGATCGTGTTGCCGATCGAGAAGGCGCTGCACCAGATGGCCGACACGAACGCCTGCGTGCCCATGCCCTCGGAGAGTCCGACGGCCGTGCCCGAGCGCAGGATGTTGCCGAACGTCGGGATGAAGGCGCCGCCCAGGAACAGCTCGCGCATCGTCATGCCGACGGCGACCAGCGAGCGGCTGGGCTCCAGGCCGAGGCCCGGCGCCGGCGGGATGATGGCCAGTCCGACGGCGGCCAGCACCAGGCACAGCGACATCTGAACGTAGTTGTTGGGCAGGTCGTCGCACAGCTTGCCCCAGACGGGTCCGACCACGGCGTAGGTGCCGCTGGCCAGCAGGAAGAACAGGCCCAGGTGGGCGGGCGACAGGCCGAGCGTTGTGGTGACGTAGGGCGCCAGGCCCGGGTCCAGCGCCGTCCAGGCCACGGCCACCAGCAGCAGCACGACCACGTTGAGCCAGGCCTCTGCCGAGCGGACCATGCGGCGCGACATGCGGCGCACCTCGACCCGCTGCGGATCGCCGCCGATCCACGGCAGCGTCACGCAACTGATGGCCGTCGCCGCCACGATCACGCCTCCTAAGACGTAGAAGGGCAGGCCGTATCCGCCGACGGTGTAGAGGCCGCCGCCGATGGCCGGCCCGGCCGCGATCCCCACGGCACACACCGTCTCTGACGTGCCCACCAGCAGGTTGATGTTCTCCGGAAACTGGTTGGCCACGATCGTGTAGGCGGCCGTGACGAACGCGGCCGTGCCCAGCGCCTCCACCACACGCACCACGTAACACGTGACGATGAACGCGTCTGCGTCCGGGATAAAGTCCAGCAGGCCGAACACGACTGTCGACACGCCCGTCACGGCCAGGCCCGTGTGGAACACGCGCGACGCGCCCATCACGGGGATCAGCTTGGAGAGCATCGGCGCGAACGCGAACTGGGTGAAGGCGTAGACGGCGAACACGCCGCCGACCAGCGACTGCGAGACGCCGCGCTTCTCGGCCTCGGACGGGAAGAACGGCACCAGGATGCCGGCGATGCAGCCGAAGAACAGGTTGCCGGCCACCACACTGCAGATGATCTTCTTCTCGCGGAACGAGAAGCGCACATACTTGCGTTTGTTTTTGATGTTGGCGAACTGCGGTATGGTAGAGCTGGGCAGTGAGTTGCGGTGCACACGCCGGGTGTGGGGTCGGTGCGGCCGCCCCATCGGGCCCGGGTGGCTCAGGCTGCGCGCCCGCTTGACGTTCGGCTGCTCCTCTGTGGACTCCATCACTGCGCTCCGAGCGGCGACGCGGACAGCACGCGACTGCGGCCGGCCGGCGGCGCGCCGCGGCCCCGCGGCCGGCCGGCTGCCCACCCGCAGCAGCCCCCAGCCGGCTCCAACCGGCGGCCGCCCCAGGGCCCCGGCCGCGCTCCCGTCCTGCTGTGTCACCCCGCCACCCCTACCGGAGAGGCTGGGCAGCGGGAGAGAACCGGTTCCAATTGTATTTTTGGACATGAGCGAATGTGCTGCGGAGCTCGCGGCAAATTTTCATTATGCTTTTTTGGCACACTTAAAGACATGGATACGTAGATTGCTATTATAGTCCCGTCTCTTCCGAATTTCTCTCGGCAATGACATGGCAATACCGAAGCACGCAAAGAATTTCGAAGATATCGGTACTTCTTACGCATACGTATTCTCAATCTTAAGTTTCAGATTATTACGTCAGTTTCTGGTTATCATCCCGCCGAATCACCGGTGCTGGGTGCAGAGCGTCTAGCCCATAATCAGCGGAAGGACGTATGCATTTATGCATTATTCAAAGGCTGCATTAGGTACCTGCACAATGCACATGGGTTGTATAAGCATCGGTGAGATCCACTGGCGCAATAGAATCCGTTAGATGAGACAAGGTTCAGTCGGAAACAATCTAATCGCTTTCCCGGGAGATACATTCCGAATCGCATCCAATATGTTATCTATGAACATGAAGTGCGGCGCGTCCGATCGCTCTAATTAAAGGGACTATCCCACCTTCTAAAATGTTGTTAAAACCAGTTAAATTGTGCCCGACTTTATAGATTGGATGACCAGGAACAGGTTCTGGCATTTATTTTTCATTAAACATCTTAGGCTTCCCATATTCCAAACACAAACTTTCAAATATGTGACGTCACAGCCCAAAATTACCTCCTTCCCCAGGCCACATTACTGTCATAAAGCTGATTCTTTTTACTCTGTAGGCACCACAACAAAGTTCAGACCAAGTTTTAAGCGATTTTTCAACGAACAAACCCATTTAAATCAGAATGACTAAACGAGGTGACGTCACACTAACGGTCGCTCCATGTTGAAGATAGGGCCTTGTACAAGGCCCATTTTCAAATGAGTGGAACGAATTTCTTCAACACCAAGAGGCCGCGGGGGTTGCAACCTAGATAGATAGTGGTTTCTGAACCTCGCCGCAAACTTGGCTATCTCAACTCAAACCCCATGTTAAAGGTGGGATAGTCCCTTTAATTTGTTCTTTGTTCCAAAACGTTTTTTTCCGTGTCTGACGGCAACTGATCGGTAGGTTCAATCGACAGACGGTACTCGTATCGATGAAAGAGCGCAGGGGGTCGGAAAATCAACGGCACAGGGCTGGTAACCTATCTCGATGTCTCTACTTCTTTTGTGTGAGAAAATTAAGCGTTGCTGATGATAGCATCACGTATCATTCAGCTCCACCAACACCAGATAAGTGTACCGACTATAGGTGATCGGGACATACAATAAAAAACTCGCGAAATTCAACCATGCCTATGGGATGGGCATTCCATTCAGTAATCTAGATTCGATAGTTCGCCGGAGCCTCCCTTTCACCGGGTCGCCTGATCACCGAATAGGTCACAAGTGTCGATCCAGAGCCCTGGGCCATGCTGTGCTGGGAATCTGCCAGATACCATCACACCGTGGATTGAAAAGTCGTGAGTAGCGAGTCTCAGGCGGCTAATCGATAAGGAGACAGCATTACGGGATAACATCACCGCGCTGCTCTGACGCAATGTTGACAAACTGGCCAGCGATAGCAGTTAGCACGCGGCGGCGACGTATCTCAATCACCCTGGCGGCGATTTCTCTGACATCTAGCGACCATCATTAGAAGCTAGAAGCTTTGCCACCAGGGGCGACACATAGGTTTTGGCAGATAGGAGGTCGGATAACTCAGTCTGTGGCTGTGCCTCAGTGAATGACAAATGCGTGGAAGGCAGCAGGACCCATACCTCAAGCATTTCTATTTCCAATATGTTTTGGAGAACAACACTATGAAAGAGCCTTTAAGTACCTCGCCATTTCCTTGTGAATCTTTCCTTATGAAATATCCAAAAGGTTACATGAATGGATAAATTTGACTAACGAGTCGTAGTCGATCACATAATTGTTGACCGTTCCGTGCTTCTATCCTCAGGATACTGAAATCCTTCTCCTCCACGCCGCAACCCCCTCCGGGCTGGACAGGCAACTTTATCTCATGCGGGCTGCTCTGCTCCCTTGGAGCGGCACCGCTGCTCCCGAGGGAGCGCACCCCGTAGCCGGGTGCAGTGAGTGCCTTGGGGCTGGGTGGCCTGTCCTCTGGACGGGCTCAGCCCCGGCGACTCACCAGGGAGCCTGCCCAGACCAATGTCTCCCCCTATATCCTATCATCCTCCCGGCTCTGAAATGGTCTCATTGGACCGAAAGGGCCTAACCCAACAAAACAAACATAATTGCTTGTCCACTATTCATATATCTGATCAATCTAACCGGCAAGTAAAGGGTGCAGAAACGAAGATACACGGGCCCTTATTGGCGGACAGCATTTGCTTTACAAAAGGGCAGCCGAGGGGACAAAATCGCAGACATCTACCAACAACATTGTAGGCGTAGCAGAACTGATTTAAGATTGTTAACGCATTTCATGACTGAACGATTGCATTTGATTACGAACTGTACATAGCGCGACATACGTTACACAGAACCAGCTACCAGTAATGTACTGTTACATATCGTCTCGGGCGTGCCCACCACGCACATTGGGGTTCTGAGACTGAGTTTCCCGTAAGCAGTTCGGCGAATTAGTTCTTTCTCAGCAATTTAATCACAATGTGAGCGGACGGATTGACGAGCCCAGAGCCTGCGCTAACAAAACCTTGGCCATAGCCGCTACCATTCGATCGGGATATTAAGTTGCCTCTACCACTCCAGGGTTCGGCCGGATACGGCTACTCCCACTAATTGCAGATCGCCCGACTCAAATATTCAGCGCCCAAGTGACGGGAAACCGAAATCTTACCACCGAGAACCAGGTCCAGACAATCCACCAACTGAGCCACAGAAGCGCAGCACAACGAGTCGGGTTCACCGCTCAAAGGAATTCAGCATACCACTTTACTATACAAGAATCACCTATAATTCGATTGACCCAGAGAAGCTTGCGCAACTGTCAAACACTGCTTCAGCACAAAAGCTACGGGTGCTTGAAATTTTGAAATACCAATCTTTACAACTTGAATAGTTGTTAACACTGGTGCCATCCACCACAAAGGGGCCATGCCAAAGAGCACTCTGCACTCACCATTGTTCAGCCAGGAGCTGCGCGGACGAAATGCGACTGGCCAACCTCACAAGGCACACCTGCAAAGCATGGACCATCGTCACCGGTAGAAACATGTGATGTGAAATACACCTACAAATGCACCTAAAAACAAGTGAGACACACCTACATTTTGGGTGTTTACAAGACAAAAACAGAGGTTTTCTGCAAGCACAAATATGAGTGACTAAAATCGCACATTATCGATGCATCGTTGGCTGGTTAGCACTGCAGCTAGCCAATTAGCCATTGATTATGGAATGGATGGCTTTTACACTGATGTGAGTCTTCTCTTGTATAATCTTCTCAGCTAAGAGTGCTTTATGCCAAGCATTATGAGCTTTGTGCTTTGTGGATAATAATTTCGAGCGAGCGCAGTGTGATGGATATTTTCAATATTACAAATCTCAGTGCGAAAAATCTTGCATCAGCGGCCCAGCTTGGAGTGTAACACCTTTAAGGGAGTTATATCTCACTGCAACCGCTGGGCTGATTGCTCTGCACACTTTGTTATTGAGTAGCCCTATCTCTTCTACCCCACAATTGACTACTCTTGAATCACATCGGTAGTCCTGTCACATATGCCACGTAAAGAGTCAAGGGTGTTCAAGCAGTCCTGGAGCAGTGCTTTTGAGAAGCTTATATCTCACGCATCTGTCAGTTATCGTCCGAGATTTACGAGTCAAATGTAGTTCAGCAATTGAAGATAGCAAAGATTAAATTTTCTCTTCTTGCGTCAAACTTTCTTAAATTACCTGTTTGCACTGAAATTTACTGTCCACTCATGCACCATACTTTTGGCGCACTGAGTTGCGCTGGACTCTGCTATGAAATTTCAGCTCAATCCGCCCTTTTACGCCGGACATGCCGACAGTAACATAACATGGGCTACTTTACTGAGGCTTACTCCCACCAGTCTGGACCTTAACAATATCAATACAGCAACAGTGAAGTTTGAGTCATAGGCGGTCCCAGGGGGGGGGGGGCACGGGGCCATGGCCCCCCCCCTTTGGTGCTGAAAGGTGGGGCCATACTATCTTTTGGCCCCACCTTTCAGATCGAACAAAAGTCCTAGAAAAGCTTTTCGTATGTTTCATTTTCTTTCTTGCGCCATCAAAGGACGTAAATTTCACTCATGAGTGGGCTCAGTTTCGCATTCTGTCAATATGGCGGTCAGCGTCGCTGGCACCGGTTCACGAGATGGCCGGATCTTATATGGAATATCAGCGTGGGTTTACTTGAGGCTCTCGTAGGCCCAGCAATGGCTGGCATGAGATCCTCTTCGGCAGTGGCGGGTGGGCCCTGCTAAAGGAGATCGGCTCTAAGACACTAAAGTAAGGCCTCATGGGTTGGTGCTGTGCACCTCAGAAGCCCGGTGGTGACGCCGTATGCCGGCTTGGTTAGCGTGGGACCTCCGGGGCCTGCATAGAGTTTGCATGAGCTAGTATGTAATCTCAGAGGCATGTGTGTAATGTGTACACAGTGGCGGTCGCGGGGGGGAGGGGCATCAGGGCCATGCCCCCCCCCAAAGGCCAATAAAGGGGCCATCATATCGTTTGCCCCCCCCCCAAACAACCAATGGGCCCCCATATAGGTGTATGGGTCCCTGGCAATTATTCGATCGTCACGAGGCTAAAAAAAAAACACGCCCAGCTATTAATATAGCCCCCACACCGGTCTTTGAGCGTCCTACACTGACCTCTGAGGGAACTTCAGTGGCGGTCAAGCGCCCACGTTGACCGCTAAGAGCCTACATCAACCTCTGAGGTCCCACATCTGGCCTATGAGGGCCCCTTACCGGCCTCAGGGGTCCCAACCGGCGTCTGAGGGTCTCACACCGGTCTCTGGTGGCCTTATTTCTGTCTCTGGTGTCCCAAGACGAACCTTTAGGTGCCAATGAGAGCCCCGCACTGGCTGCTGAAGACCCGATGCCGGCCTCTAAGTCTAAGGGCCTTCATTGGACTCTGAGGAGGGCCCATCTTGGCCTTTGAGGGCCCTCTGCTGGCCTCTGGGGTCCAACGACGGCTCATGCCGGTCTTTTAGGGCCCCACGCTGACCTCTGAGGGCCCATGTTGGCCTGTAATGAGTAAGGACCCACATTAGCCTCTGAGAGCCCAACTCGGTCTCTGATGGTCTCAAACTACTGGCCTTTGTAGTTTGCAGGCCCTGCACTGGTCTCTGAGGGCCCTAAACTGGCCTCTACGTGAAAACATACATGGATGGGTTTCTAAAAATCAGAGGGCTCACGCAGTCTCCGGCACAGCCTTACGTTGGTCCTGATCGAGATTACTTTACGTCCTGATGGTCCCGCGCACATTCCCTCATATTTCGACGTCGGGACCCCATGAGCCGGTGTGGGTCCAGGGGCTGGCAGAGACTGATGAAATCCTTAGGGCTCAGGGCCAGTCTTTTTAGCAGTAGGACTAGGCAGGTTGAGTGAGCCCCAATAGAGCCGTTGCGAAGCCCCGCAGGAGTCGCGTGCGGCCCTCAGATGCCAATTTTGAAAGCTCGGAAACTGTGGGGGTCTCGCAGAGGTCGGTGTACCTAGGTACTCTCTCCCGCCGCCACACAACTAGGTATGTAGCGATATGGGTAAATGTCATAGTCTGAAAATGCTCTCTGGGTTTCACATGCTTGTTCAAAGCAAGAGGTATCTGTACTTTTCCGAATTGTTTTATAGTTACGGAGCGAGCGAAGCGAGCGTAGTCTTTCCTTAGATTAACGGAAATTTCTGAGTATGAGCGGCCGGCCGGCCCCGGCCCGTGGTCACGATTCTGCGACGCTTATATCTCAGCAACCACTTGACCGATTTACACGCGGTAATTTTTGTAGGGTAGCTTCATTCCTTCTACCAAGTATTGGACTATTCCCGATACATGTGGGTGACCCCTTATGCACGTGCCACGTGCAAAACAAAAAGGTGTCACTTTCGTAATTGTTGCAATATCTCGGTAACTACTTGGCCGATTGCGCTGACAGTTGGCATGTAGGTAGGCACCCACTAGGCAATGCATATCCATGTGCCAGAGTTGGGGTGCTGCTGCACGTGCGCACGTGCAGGGGTCGACTCCAGATCTCGAGAACGGCTGGACCGATGGCGCTCAAATTTGGCACATGGTTAGGGACCGGTTAGTAGGGTGCCGTGCAAAAGTCAGTTGGGACCCATTTTGCACGTGCGCACGTGCAGGGTGCCGCTTCCAGATCTCGAGAACGGCTGGGCCGATGGTGCTCAAATTTGGCACATCGCTAGAGACCGGTTAGTAGGGTGCCGTGCACAAGTCAGTTGGAGGTACCCCGTCGAAATTTTGCACGTGCAAGGCTCACCCTCTTGCTCGCTCCGTTAGTCGCCCCAAAAGGCGTTATGCTGGTGGTAAGGTCATGAATCCATGTGCCTGACCTTCCAGTATACCTATGCTACACCAATCCGTCGTCATGGTGCAGTGGCCCGGCCAGTGGAAGCACCGTGGGACGGGAAATGGAACTGGTGATTTTGCCTTAAATTGAGCTTAATGATTTCACGCAAGAATGAGATGGATGAAGCATAAGTAATGCCAACTGCGCGGCACCTCGTGGACGTATAAAATGAGCCGATCACCCCCCTCCCAGTGACGGATAAAGGTTATGTCCCGCGAGTGTGACTTTGGCCCCCCTTTTGCTAGCGACTGCGACCGCCAGTGGTTTGAGTTGTCTCCTTGTTTGCAAAAAAAAACAGGTGTGATGCCTCTTACCTGTTACCTGGTTAAGATGCCTGAAAGATGGAAAGATGCCTGAAAGGCCATCTTTGACGCCTGCTTTACGACCACCTAGTACCTACCTACCCATTTACATTTAGGTATTTTAAGGTAATGCCTAGGGACGCGCCAAGAACAATATGTAAACACAGAAGTAGAACAGACTTGATACTACGTGGATCTGGAAAATAACAAAACGAATGAACTTACCTATAGAACGTACCCTTATAATTGGTGGCGCGAGATAGTTGGTTATGGGGGGTTATGGATATTTATAAACGTTTACGCGTTTACGTTGTGTTTACGCGTTCAGTGTTGTCAATTCTATGTTTTGAGTCATGCAACTGATGCAACTGCCAATCTATTTGATGACGTCAATAGTCACCGCATAAGTGTTTGGGAGGTTAGTTATAGAGCCAGAGGGCTAGGTTTCCAAAAGTTTTGTGAGATCAAACTAAATTAGGATAAATTAGACAAGGTTATTGGAGAAAAAGTGATAAGATAAGGTAAATTCTGCATACTTTTTCTCAAAATCCTCGTCAAAGTAAACATTATTTTTTTTTTATTTCATGACGTCATCTTCATAACGGATAGTTTTATCCTTTTTCCAAATAAATGCCTTGGATGCGCAAGTAATGTATGTTCATTTTCAAAGCATTAGCGTATCTGAACGCTGCAGCATGACAGCAAGCAGAATCTGACCAATCATTTGCTACCTTTTTCATAGCAGCCTGCTAGATCTCAGTAATTGAACACAATTACTGTCTACGTGGAAATCCTTGTGTTGTCCTCAAGGCACTGGTCCCGTTATTTCCGTTATTTCCAATACGAGAGAGCTGCTGGTCTTCTTCGGTGAGTGGGTTGTTGGTGAGTAAATTTCAAGTAATCTTTATCACTTATCATCCATGGTATGCAATATTAAATTGTAATCAGCATCGGGCATTTTCTACAGAAACATTTCTGGCTGCTCGGCTAGCATAAGCCATGCTGAGGCTGGTTCGTTAATGGTTTTGGGTTAAGCACCATATCCGGGGCCCTGTTTCACCGGTGATAGCAGCACGCTGCTCTGCTATCACGTTTCGCGAGCTGTCGTCATGTCATGAATGACGCCATACCAATACTGTTGACGTGATGGGCAGTTCCGGCGCACGATTGCCGCGACCTTGGCCTCGGCATTAAGTGATGTATGAGCCTAAAAGTAAGAGTTTACACAGTCATGATAGTGTATTTATTTTTGATATATATTTTTTAATATGATGTATCTAAAAGAAGTTGGGTTTAAGGAAAATTTGGACGTAAACTTCGAACATTTAGTTGATGACGTAAAACAATATTGCGGCAATCGTGCGCCAGAATTGCCCCTTATGTCAGCAGTATGACATCATCACATTATGTCAGCTGGCGCAATTTGATAGCAGCGTGCTGCTATCACTGGTGAAACAGGGCCCCGTGGACCAAATGCTAAACGGAATTCTCACGCTGTTCCAAGCGGTCAGGGGGCGGCAATGCCACGTGCATTGCCCGGGAATCAAACCCAGATGGCTGAATCTAGAGGCAAGGAACTTACCCCTAGACCCGAATGCTCCCCAAGCCATGCTAAGCTGTGTATCAGTATTGCCTATTGGTCATTTAATGGTCGAGTTCAAGTCTCCCTACATTTTGGATAAATCAGTCAGAACTCATCAGAATGATTATAACTTATGTCTCAGTGTCAGTGCTCAAACAGTGAGAATGCCTGTCAAAATATGATTTTAAGAAATATGTTACGGGACAGGTTACCAATCATCAGTGACCTCATCCTGACCTTCCCGTGATGAAAGCAATGAAAATGCATGGGACAAGCATTAATTCACATGTTGAGAGCTGGGGCAGTTCTAATCACACAAAGCATGGAAACTCACGGATAATGTGCTTGGACATGCACCGAATCGAAATTCTGGGCTGGCATGGTCTCGGGCAACAGTTCAAAGGTCACCTGGTTGTGAATTATTTTCAGGGTATGCTTAAAATTGCTCAACTCGAGGGTACTGACAGTGTTGTTGTGGTTGACTTTTTCGCGTTTTTTCCCAAACAAATGCGAGGAGGGATCTGTTGGACGTGCCCCGCTTAAAAGTATGAGGATTGATAATTGAGATGCGTGAGGAAAATGACATGCGTTAGGAAAATGACAATGGATAAAAAGAAAAAGCTTGTATGAAATTCCAGGCATTATCGATCCTCAGGCTCTCGTGATCGCCCGGAAAGAAGGGATAGGAAAGGCATAAAATGACCTCAAAATGTTTTTTGCAGGGTATTCATCGGTAAGTAGTCTGCACTGTTCAGTGTCCAGGGTGATGTCCCTGACTGAGCTGGAAAAGCTGGAGAGTGCGATTCTGGTGGCGGCCGAAGATCCCGCCGACGAGGACCTGCAGGGTGACCTCAGCCAGCACAGCACGGTACTGAAGAAGATGCAGGCGAAGCTGGCCAGCCCGGCGGTGCGAGAGTGGATCGCCAGTCGGCGTCAGAACATCCGGCCCTGGCTGCAGTTCATCAATGTCAACAACTTTGGCAAGCCGGACTCGCTGCCGCGCTGGTCCAAGCGCCTGGTGAAGAACATCGATCACTTCCAGAGCAACTACGTGTTTGTGTTCCTGGGTCTGTTCGTGTACTGCCTGCTGACGTCACCGCTGCTCCTGATTGCGCTGGGCGCGCTGGCCGGCGGCTGCCACATCCTGCGACTGCGACAGCAGGAGCGGAAGCTGATGGTGGCCGGCCGCGAGGTGCCGCTGGCGCAGCAGTACGCAGGTGTGGCGCTGCTCAGCGTGCCCATCTTCCTGATCGTCGGCGCCAGCTCGGCCCTCTTCTGGGTTATTGGTGCTTCGTTCTTTGTTATCATGCTCCATGCCACGTTCTTTAAGCACGAGGCGCTGGCTGGCGCCGAGGAGGATGCAGAGCTGTTTGAGGTCACTATGGAGCCTGTCCAGTAGAGCTCAGGGCTGTCAAGAGCCGCATTTGTTGCACTAATTATGTTTATGTCACATCGCCTGAAAATATCTCGCATGCTACAAGCTTACACCGCTCATCTATTGCCATTTACCCAGACGCCTGTATGGTCTGGTTGAACTGTTGGAACGCGTTTGTTGCTGTTTTATTTATTATAGACAATATTTATTTCTGTTAAGCATTTTTAACTTGCACGTAATAAATTTCTAGTGAATCCGTGTTGTTTGTCTTGCAATGCTGAGCCCGCACGCTTGTGTATACATCTACATAGCAACATTTGCCTAGTTATGATCTCCAGTTTTCGAAAACGATTTTCTTCTTTTCGGATTTTTCTTTCGGCCCTTGCTCGTTTCTCGCTAGTACCTATGCGTTGTTGTCTGGTGATACCCCAGTCGTAGTTGGAGCATTTGGTGCGCGTTGCAATGGATAGGGGCTTGAGGCATTGCCGGCGGGTCCCGGTCCCAGACTGACGGCGGGTGGTCGCGGCGAACCTCAGCCTTGCAAACCCTGGCAGGTGGCTGACAGCAGCCAGTGAAGACTCCGCCTGTTCGCTGGACGTTTGTCTTATCAGCAGACGAGGGCGTGTGAGCGCGATCGGTAGATAAATCGGCCGACAATATGAGCGGCTAAAGACCGCAGTCGTTAGCGGCAGAGGAATATCGTGGTCTCGGCGCCATAAGCACTGGGGGATCGTGGATCGCGGCAGCGCAAGCGAAGCTCACAATCTCCCGTGCTGCAGTACTGGGAAGGTGGAAAGGACTGGAGGGTGAGGGACCGCGCTCGCCGGCACCGTGGGTCGGCGAGGGGAGACGGACCGAGGTACCCCGAGTTGATAGGGTGAGGGACCGGGTGGTCTGAGGCGGCCCGCCGACATGTCCGGGCCGACGATACAGCTCGCCGGTGGCAGCGGCCGGCGCATCGGCGGCCACCATCCATGTCTGATCGTCGCAGAGATCGGCCAGAACCACCAGGGCGACGTCGACATCGCCAAGCGGATGATCGACATGGCGAAGGTAAGTAGCTACCGTCGCAATGCCGCCGTGCCGGCTGCGCTCACACTCAGACGTGTCTGATCCGGGGTCCGAAAAGTGGACTTGGAATTTGGATGTCGGCCTTTTATCGATATGTGCATTGTGCACTCGGGTCGGAACGTGAACCCATCGGGTCTGGGCAGCAGACCCTGGCGTGTAAGACTGCTAAGAAAGCCTCGCATCTACCCGAGGCAAAACCAGTGTATCTTTCTGCCGAGCTTCACGAAAATGAATAGGAAAGCGCTGTTACTGTCACTGAGTGTACACTGTCAGCTGTCGGCCGGACCCATTCCAGAGATGCGGCGCCGACTGTGTCAAGCTGCAGAAGAGCAGCCTGCCGGACAAGTTTGCCGGCTCGGCGCTCCGTCGGCCGTACGAGGGACCTCACTCGTGGGGCGCCACCTATGGCGAGCACAAGGCACACCTGGAGCTCAGCAGGAGCGCCTACCGGGAGCTGCAGGAGTACGCCAAACAGGCAGGTACCCGCGCCGCGAGCCTCGTTATCTTGGGACTTTAATGCGTAACGATGATTGATACGCTAAATGCGATTAATGGGACGCTGTGTTTGACGGGGGATCTCCCGGTGTTTTGATGGAGTGTAAGTGGATATCGACCCTGTACACAGGTCGATATCCTGTTCACGGCCTCGGCAATGGACCCGGTCTCGGCCGAGTTCCTGGAGGAGCTGGACGTGCCGTTCGTCAAAGTGGGCTCCGGAGACGCCGACAACCTACCGATGATCTCCGAGATCGCCGGCAGAGGCCGGCCCGTGGTCGTTTCCACCGGTGAGCGGCAGGCTGGGTTGGAGGGGGTTGTCTCCACTGGACCCGTCGGCAGACTGGGCGGGGGTCGCATACCACTAGGCCGTCGCTGTTCCATCCGAGAGCCGGACTATTCAAAGAGCATCTCTCGCTCGGTATGCTCCTGTAAGCTTTAATGACAAGTGTCAGCAAATAACTCATACGGGTTATGGGCTCCACAGACTGTCTCTGACCAACGAAAAATGTCCCAAATATGGATGCTATTGAATCGGTTTGGTTTGGGAGATATCTCACGGATTTTCTCCTTTACGTTTTTACGTATCACGCTGGTGCAGATGTACTGATGTGCGCGTGTGTTCGGACAGGTATGCAGTCGCTGGAGACGGTGCGGCGCGTGTACGAGTTAGTGCTGCGGCACACCAGCCAGCTGGCACTGCTCCAGTGCACCTCCGCCTACCCGACGCCCGACGAGCACGTACACCTGCGAGTGCTCCAGCAGTACCAGCAGGCGTTCCCGCGCACCGTCATCGGCTACTCGGGTCACGAGCAGGGCACGGCCATCACCGTGGCGGCCGTCGCGCTGGGCGCAAAGGTGGGAACCGCTCGGACCGGCCCGAGGATCATTGTATAATGTTTTCCTTCGCTCTTAAGGACACACCGATACGTCAGGATTACATTCACGGTTTTTTTTTTTACCGTAAGCACAATCTACATATTTAGATTGTCTGGCCAATAATCATTACATTACGTGCATGTCGATGGGCGTAATGGAACGCTTCTTACAGCTGCGCGGGTGTCGCCACAGATTGTGGAGCGTCACGTGACACTGGACCATAGCTGGCGCGGCTCTGACCACGCGTGCTCGCTGGAGCCGGCGCAGCTGACCGCCCTGGTGTCCGACATCCGGCGGCTGGAGCTGGCGCTCGGCACGCCCGCAAAGGCCGTCCAGCCCAGCGAGCACGCCTGCTGGCTCAAACTGGGCAAGACGGTGGTGGCACGCCGCGAGTTGGCGGCTGGTTGCCGGCTGACGGCCGCCGACCTCGCCGTCAAGGTGGCCGAGCCCAAGGGCTGGCGGCCCGAGCGGCTGAACCAGCTGGTCGGCCGCCGGCTGCGCACCGCGCTGCAGGCAGACGACAGCGTCACTGATGACGTCCTTGAGCCGGAGCCGGAGCGGGAGTAGGACAGTAGATACTAGCTAGAAGTAGCAGCAATGGCAACAGCAGGAGCTTCAGTACACTGACGGGAAGTGCAATGCGCCAAACCGGAGCCATCGGTGTAGTGAGTGGCTGTTAGTGCGCTCAGGTGTTGATTTGATTTTTATTTTCCTGTGACTGTGTCTATCTCATTCATCGGCGACACGTGTTCGTAAGTCTGGGCTAGCTGGGGTATATATCTAGTCATCGTGCTTTATCTACGATCATCCAGTGTAAAGTGTTACCCAAGATAACCCGTCTTACTTACGAGCGAGTCACGTCAAATATACATTTGAATAATATTAAATGGGGTGTGTAGCAAACTTGAGAAGTTATGTAACTTTGGGCTTTCTGCAGGCAAAAGCCGTTTGCCGCTAGTCCTAAGACCGTCACAACACCTAGCACAGCCATTACTGGAGACTGCTATACCGCACACAACAGTAGCACCATCCCTTATAAAGGCTGTTATACCCCACACAGCAGTAACACAGTCCACTAGGGAGACTGCCATACCGCACACAGTAGTACCACCTTCCCTCATGGAGACTGTTATACCGCACACGACAATAGCCTCATCTCTTATGGAGACTGCTACGCCGCACAAGGCACCGTACCATCAGGAGACTCCTATACAGCATAACAGTAATGCTATCCCTTATGGAGACTTCCATACCGCACACAGCAGTATCGACATACCTACCTATCGGAGACTGCTATACCGCACATAACAGTATCACCGTCCCCACGGGAAACTGTTACACCGCACACAAAAGTAGCACCACAGACACTGGAGACTGCTATACCGCACACAACAGAAACACCACCCATTAAACTGGAGACTGCTACACCGCACACAAAAGTAGCACCGCAGACACTGGAAACTGCTATACCGCACACAACAGAAACACCACCCATTAAACTGGAGACTGCTACACCGCACACAAAAGTAGCACCGCAGACACTGGAGACTGCTATACCGCACACAACAGAAACACCACCCATTAAACTGGAGACTGCTACACCGCACACAAAAGTAGCACCGCAGACACTGGAGACTGCTATACCGCACACAACAGAAACACCACCCATTAAACTGGAGACTGCTACACCGCACACAAAAGTAGCACCGCAGACACTGGAGACTGCTATACCGCACACAACAGAAACACCACCCATTAAACTGGAGACTGCTACACCGCACACAAAAGTAGCACCGCAGAAAATGGAGACTGCTATACCGCCCACAACAGAAACACCACCCATTAAACTGGAGACTGCTACACCGCACACAAAAGTAGCACCGCAGACACTGGAGACTGCTATACCGCACACAACAGAAACACCACCCATTAAACTGGAGACTGCTACACCGCACACAAAAGTAGCACCACAGACACTGGAGACTGCACTATACCGCACACAACAGAAACACCACCCATTAAACTGGAGACTGCTACACCGCACACAAAAGTAGCACCGCAGACACTGGAGACTGCTATACCGCACACAACAGAAACACCACCCATTAAACTGGAGACTGCTACACCGCACACAAAAGTAGCACCGCAGACACTGGAGACTGCTATACCGCACACAGTAGTATCACCTTCCCTAATGGGGACTGTCATACCGCACACAACAGTAACACCACAGCAACTGGAGACTGCTACACAGCACACAGCAGTAACACGGTCCCTTATGGAGACTGCTATACCATACACAACACAGTAACACCACCCATATGGCTGGAGACTGCTACACCGCACACAGAAGTAACACCCTACGGAACACTGCTATACGGCATACCACAGTAGCACCACAGCAATTACATAGAGACAGCTGTACCGCTCATAGCAGTCGAACCGTACCTACCGGTGACTGCTATACCGCACAAGGCAGTAGCACCAACACCTGCATGACCTTTCAGTAGCCTTAACTGCCCGGCTATCATTGAATGAAATTGAAGGTAAACAAGACTTCACACAGACGGCATCATTGATTCGCGACGATAAAAGCGTATTGCAGTTTACCGCGACTGGCGAGAGGACGTCAGCGAGATAGCGCTACCACCCCACTCCAAGAGTTTCATACATCACTGCTTTCCCTATCAGTGCGAGGTGTAGCGATTCAGACCAGAATTACCCATAATATGCGGCTGTACACCTCCACATATCGCCTTTATTTCCCAGCACAGTGTATCAACAACATTGGTCAGAGACAATTGAACACATATTATCTGCTTAACTGAGCATAAGTCTAGTTACACATGGAAAAAGTAAGAAGTAAAAACTGAAAACAGTATGCAAACATCGTAATCCACAACACACAATATCCCAGAATGATAGTTGTTAGGAATGCAGAGAGGAAATGTGTTATCGCCAGGAAAGTACGAAGCCCCGGCGGCGGCCGTGCCGCCGCTGTCGACCTACCGGCCGGGCACTGTGCGCCACAGGTCCACCTCAATGTCCACAGACGCGCGCCGGTGGAAGCCGTACGTGCTGGGCAGGTCGTAGCGCAGTTCGGCCACCACTGTGGCGCGCGCCGCCCACAGCTCGGCCTGGCGCTGCACGTGCCGGCGCGTGCTCCGCTTGTGCAGCGAGTACACGGCCGAGCCGGCCAGCTCCAGGGCCGCCTGCAGAAAGCGCATGTCGGCGCCGGCGTTGCGTTTGGTGCCGAACGGCGGGTTGGTGATGACCGTGTCGACGGGCTGCCGCCAGAGCTGCGCCACCTCCTGCACGTCGGCCTGCAGCAGATCGACGGCCGGCAGCTCCGCCTCCTCCAGGTTGGCGCGGGCGGTGGCCAGCGCGTCCTCGTCGATATCGACGGCGAGCACGGAGCCGGCGCCGAGCGCGGCCGCGCCGGCGGCCAGCACGCCCGGCCCGCAGCCGAGGTCGGCCACCGCGCGGCCGGCGATGTCACCGAACGAAGCCTGCGCCGTGTGCAGCAGACAGGCGGCAATGTGCGCCGGCGTCACGTACTGCTCCAGTTTCACCTTGGGACGTTCGAAGCCATCCAGCTGCTGGAGCAGCGACTCCAGCTGCCACAGCTTCATGCACACGGCCATGGCGGCGGGCGGCGCTCACGAGCGGGCGGACCTACTTGTCTTTGCGGACGCCGGCGGGCTCCAGCCGGGGGATGACGGGCATCACCAGGTTACCGAACAGCGACTCCTGAGGTACAAAGTAGCCAAACGAGGAGCTGTTGGCCTGCTGGAGCGCCTGCCGCTGCGCTGGCGACAGCAGATGGCCTCCGGCAGAGGCCGGACCCACCTGACAGCACAAGCAGACATGTGTTAGCCATCTTCGGCAAAAATAGATGAAAAAGCGAGAGCCGAGAGCAATAGAAAGAGAATGAAAATAACGAAGAATAAGATAACACATGGAAAAATATGAAAGAATAAAAGGATCGTCATACACATCAGCTATAAAAAAACAAGGCGAAGAAACGCATCGTTATATCGCAATGATTTTTTGACAACGGTGATAAATTAAACGGGAGACATGAGGATAACACTCACTGGAGTACTGGGAGCTCCCGATGCAGATGGAACCGCCCCTGGTTTCAAAAGCATCTGCTTTTTCCGAGCCTCTAACTCTTCTAGGATCTTTCTGTTTTCAATAGCTGCAACGATAACGATTTCATAAAAAAGCTAATATTGATAGGTACCTACCAGATTTGAGTATGACCATACTGGCAATGATTTTACTATCAGAATGATAACAACATTGAGTGGACAACATTCATTTAGCTGCTAGTAAATTCCAGGATAACAGTCCTTTTAAGGGCTATTGTAAGAAGTGGTGAGGTTTTACTATCATTTGTGAGACCTAACAAGTGCATTGTGCAACGGAACTAGCATGACAAACATTTGAAAGGGGCTGTGGCCACCTACCTTGTCTGCTACTGGCAGACATAAGTGCAACCAGTGATTTGATTTTTCATAACAAAAAGTAACCAAAGTACAATACCTAATTGACAATCAAAAATGATACCAAAGCTCAGTTGCTCATCACAGGTATAAGAATCTTGCAGGGGCAGCCTCCCTGTAAAGAGAAGAGTTGGTTTGGCATGAAAATTGTGAAGCTACTGCAGCTGTGGACTGTGGACAGAAGGCAATCAAATGGAACCGTCACAGCTCTCATAGGGATGATCAGATGAAGTTGATACAGATCAAACAGTTGTCAAAACACTAAGGAACCATAAACACCTCCACCCTCATCTCAATGCTGGACTAGTCCCTATCAAGTGTCCATAGTCTTACTTAACCCGCGCCCTGCTGGGGGTCCTGGATTTCCACGCCCTGCTGGGGGGGGGTGTTTGAACACCCCCCCTTGTAACTCGGCTCCTGGGCCACGTAGCGATACGCGGAAGGCGGCGTTCGAAAGAGCGTAAAAAATAATGACGAAATCACTTCGGTCAATTTTTTGGTCCGGTCAAAGGTCAGGTCACCAGAGGTCATTGAAGGCAAAATTTCGCCGATTTCCAGGTCGAATGTCGAAAATTTCCAAGAAGCCAACGAATAACTCGAGAACCAATAGAGCTACAGCGCCGCGGAAAAGCGCATTCGATAGCCCTATTAACGCCCTTTCTGAGTAATTCTCTCAGATTTGACCTAACGTCAACGGTTTTGCCTGCAGGGGGCAAAAACTGTAAAAATAGCCGATTTTTTCGAAAACAGTTTTTCTGCAATAACTTTTGACCCAAGCCTTGTACGAGCTTACTTTTACCGGCATCGTGTTCCTCTCGTCAAGACGCATCGAATGAACTATGACTTGACCTTGAAAGGTCAACTTGAAAATTTGACCTCAGGTCAAGGTCATGACCTGACCGGAAAGGGTCATGTTGCATATCAGTCGATCCGTATCGTCGAGCTGAACACATCTAAGGCGTTTTCATCGCTCTAGCATGCCTCTATCAAAAGTTATTTGCGAAAAACTGCTAGATACCATTCGTGACCTAAGATGACCTCAGGGCATAAACAAGGGTCACGGACACCATTTTCAAGTTCAGTGTGTCTAAACCACTTGTAATTCGGTGTTTGGGAGTGTTTATAATGTCTTTCATCCAAAAGAGGCGCATTTCAATTTTCTCCCATTGACTTATAATGGGGAGGTCGCAAAATTGACCTGACCTTAGGTCATCGATATCAAAATTCTGAGATATACATTTTATACATGCTATTGCTCTTAGCAATCGCTGAAAGTTTCAAAGCGATCGGTCACTCGGTGTAGCTATGACAGACATTGAAAGTTTTTATGTGGTGAGGTCACTTCAAGTGACCTGGTGACCTGACCTTGAATGACCTTGGTCTGAAATTTTCACAACATGTGTAGAATTGATGTATGGTAAGGTGTACCAAAAACGGCGGCGCTCCGCGCCGCCGTTTTTGAGATATTCGCGAAAAACCACAAGGGGGGGGGTGTTCAAACACCCCCCCCCCCCCAGCAGGGCGCGGGTTAATACAATATGGGGGGTACTGGGAACACTCAATAGCATGGCATAATTGATAAAACAGCATTAATGGTGCTCTTAGGGCTAATACATACATACCAAAAATTGCAGCTCATTATGTCTTTGATCAATGACAAATGTCGTGTTCTTAAGTTTGATTTTAGTTGGGCATGCCAATAAAGAAGAAAAAGATTCCTAGAATGAGTAAAGGGATGCTAATACCTTAAGAATTTTCACAAAGGGTGCAACACCATTTCCATGCCAACTTATAAACCAGGGTGTAATGATCCTGACAAGATCTGGAAGAAGATAACGTTGATGGCTATTGGCTGATGCCCCATCCATCATTAGTCATTGTCATATGTATCCTGGTTGTTTGAATGCATGAGACATTCTCTCAAAGATAGCCACTTTTTATATTTGGGATGAAAATGTTTTCCCCATTAGGTGTGATTTTCCACTCAAGGTTCTGGAAAATGAAACACTTCAATTGTCTCAAATTATCAATGCCATAACCTACCCACATCATTATTACTATCAGCATAAGTCATTTGCATTGAAATGCTAGTGTTACACCCAGAATATTGAGCATGGCAGCAGAGCTAATCAGCCCCAGACCCCAAGAGGCAGAGAACAAATCTGCACCAGCCCATATAAACCATGCTGGATCTCACAGGCATGGTTTAATCTACTCTACAAGTACCCTAAGGCCCTACTAGAAGATTAGAAACATAGTGTCCTTCATCATATTAGTAGGCTAGCTGCTGCCTGGTGGCTGCTAGCCGCTAGGACCATTGACCAATATGTGATAAGAATCCAGTATTTTCAACATCATCCCTGTAGTATTGCAAAGTGAAAATGGACTTGGCATCCACAACTCGACCACCTAGACCCTGACAGGAGCTCTATTCAGTTGATATTTTTTATAAGCATACTGTCGGTTTTCTCATATAAGGAAGCTATTGCTGGCGATTCTTGGCCTCTCATTGGTCGAATGAATAGACCACATGAATTCGACCAATGAGGAGCCAAGAAACAGCAGCATGCTTGCAGCCTGCTGATAAAAAACTGCGACCGAACAGCGCCAGATCAAAGAATGTGACATTTCAATTAGAAAAGTGAATGTGCATGGTAGGTGCATGGTAGGTCAGCAACTGGAAATGTCAAATGGAGCAGCCTCACACAGAGCTTGTATTTTACCCTAAAATAAACCATTACAATGATTCGATGCTAGAGCCGAGGCCAGAAAAGAGCCTACCAATTAATTAAAATGATATCAGAAATCAGAAATCAGAAATCAGATGATATCAGAAACCTGGACCTGGAAGAAGCATACGAATCGTTCAAGTCGCAAATAACCGGAGACGTTGAAGACTGTTCGGTCAAGAGAAGCGCCCACTCCAGGAAGAACCTCTACATGAATCGGGCGGCGATGCAGCTGAGAAAGAGGAAGCAGGTGCTGTGGGGCGTCTACCGTCAAACTCTCGACAACGTGGATCATGCCCGGTTTGTGAGGTGCAGAAATCAGCTTAGGGGCCTGACGAGAAAACTTCGAAGGGACCACGAGTCAAAGCTGGCATCGAACCTCAGACAGAACCCCAAAGCATTTTGGAGGTACGCCAACTCTAGGCTGCGTACTAGGTGCCGTGTTGAAGACCTGATGGATGACAACGGCGAGCTTGTGTCCAGCAACCGAGCAAAAGCTGAAGTACTAAGCAGGTTCTTCTCCAGCGTCTACACCTCAGAGGGAGCTGAGCCTCCCCCAGCTCTGCCATGCAACTTCCAGGGACCCCCACTGGTTGACGTGGATGTATCGCCACAGAAAGTTGAGGCTAAGCTGGCGGTCTTGAAGCCAACTAGCTCGCCAGGGCCGGATGCTATTCATCCCCGAGTGCTCCGCGAGTCTGCAGGCCCCCTGTCCGTACCCTTGAGTTTGCTATTTGCAAAATCACTGGAAGCAGGAAGTCTCCCCTCTGATTGGAAGATTGGCGAAGTAGTCCCCATATACAAGAAAGACGACCGCAGAAACCCCGCGAGCTACCGTCCAGTGAGCCTTACGTCCATTCCGTCAAAGGTGCTCGAGTCCATCATTCGCGACCATCTTCTTCAACACTTCACGGACAGTGGCCTGCTGCATGCGGCTCAGCACGGATTTCTCCCGAGGAGATCATGTTCCAGTCAGCTACTGGAGGTGATGGAAGATTGGAGTGCTGCATTGGAAGATGGTGACCCAGTTGATGTCGTATACCTCGACTTCGCCAAAGCCTTCGACTCGGTGCCGCATCAGCGACTCCTCAGTAAGCTGCGCGCCTATGGAGTCGGGGGGAAGCTGCTGAGTTGGATTGAGGCTTTCCTTGTTGGTCGTACTCAGAGGGTTGTGCTGCAGGGATCGAGGTCTGGCTGGGTCCCCGTCACCAGCGGTATCCCCCAGGGATCTGTCCTTGGTCCCGCCCTCTTCACGATTTTCGTCAATGACATGCCCCAGCAAGTGTCGAGCTGTGTCAAGCTGTTTGCAGACGACACAAAACTCTACCGTCGTGTGACAGGTGACCCTGCCGGCCTTCAAGCTGACATCAACGCTCTGGTCAACTGGTCGAAGAAGTGGCTGTTGCCCTTCAATGTGTTGAAGTGCAAAGTGATGCATGTCGGAGGTCTGAATCCTGAGCACACATACTTACTGGATAACGCCGCGATTGAGAGCGTGAGCGAAGAGAGGGATCTGGGCATCATTATCGACGAGAACCTGAAGTTCCACCAACAAACTGCTGCTGCCATTGCAAAAGCGACCCAGATGTTGGCTGTTGTGAGGCGCTCATTTGCTACCCTCGACGTGATCACGCTGCCTCTGCTGTACAAGTCTGTGGTGAGACCGTTCCTCGAGTATGGCAACATTGTATGGGGGCCATTTGGCAGAGTCAACCAGAAACGGTTGGAGCGGGTACAACGTCGAGCGACTCGCATGGTTGACACCATCAGACATCTCCCATACACCGAGCGTCTGCGCCGACTCGACATACCGTCGCTGTACTATCGTCGTCGCCGAGGGGACATGGTGACAGTGTTTCAGCTGTTCCATGGTGGCATGTCAGTGGCTCCTGAAGCGCTTCCGACCAGACACAGCTCCGACCGCACAAGGGGACATCAGTGGAAGCTGCAGAAACCGAACGCAAGAACGCTCACGAGGAGGAACACCTTCAGCACAAGAGTCGTGAATGACTGGAACTCTCTGCCAGCTTCTGTAGTGTCTGCCACCAGCGTCAATCAGTTCAAGGCCAGGCTGGACGAACACTGGAAAAGCCTGAAGTATGACATTCCATACCCATAAGAGCCCAGACTGTCCTAGTCCTAGAGCTCGAGCATTATTGACCTGAGTAAGGCAGTTTGTGGTGACAGTCCAAACTTGAAGATTGTTGAGGTCATCCGACTTGGCAAAAAAGACGAGAACCAAACCTCACTCACCGAAGCCTCTGCCCCTGGTAGTGCCATGCACCGTCCTCGCCTTCTGCTGGTGAAATTTGAAACAAAAGAAGATGCAAATAGACTGTTCCAAAAGCGATTTGGACTCAGGGATGCTGGGTTCCGGCATGTTTAC